AACTGACCAGCTGGTCTCCTAGATTCACGACAGTGTGAAGGCTGAATTTTTGATTGTGTGCGAGGAAAATATCATGCAATGACGGCCCAAGGAGGTCGAGAACCAAAGCATGATATGCTGACTCTCTACCAAACCAGAGGGCACGGGGTATTCCAACTCCACCTTCAAGTCGTTTCAAGATGGTGTATTCGCGCTGTACAGAAGATGAGTGGTTGGCGATGAGTTCAAGTTTGATGGCAACTGCATCATCTTTCATGATGTTCCGTGCATGGTATACAACAGCTAAGCAGGGCACATAGTATATTGAATCTTTACAATTGTAGACGACTTGTGAATGACATACCGTATGTAGGGAACTGCACGGGTAAACCCCCGGGTATTGGAGGCCATACCCGCACCCGCACCCGGCAAAAACCCGTACCCGCTCTGATGGGTATGGGTTTTCGGCGGGTACAACAAGCTCAGACCTGTACCCGCACCCATGCAGGGTTTACCTGCGGGTACCATAGGTATCACCGCCAGTGCTTAGCACATATGTCCAGCACACGTCAGCGAATGCTGACGTGACTCGAACATATGTGGATGGCACAAGGAGGAGTGGAGGCACAGCGCGAATGACAGACGCATTGAAATAGACGCTGATGTCGTGGCAGGTGGTGTGTCGTGTACGATCGAAGTCGAAGGTGAGCATGTCGAAATGGGAGATGGTGGTGTGGTGGTGCAAGAGTGTGATGTGTCGGGTGTCGCATCCTCATTGCAGAAAATAAGGGCAGAGTCAGGACGGCGACTTACTGACAAGATCCTTCCTTCCTCCTCTCGTTCCTCCTCTTTTCCTTCTCACTTCCTTCTCTTTCCCTTCTTTCCTCATCCTCATATCCTCCATATGTGTCCGAGCCACGCCAGCATTCGCTGGCGTGCTCTGGGCGCAGACGCTCGATGCTGGCGGTTGGTAGCACAAGGTGGGAGCTGCTGGTGGCGTCCTGGATGGAGGTGGTTGTTGCTGTGGGAAGGGAGCTGCTAGCGATGGTGGTGGTGGTTAGTGCTGCCGCGGTCCGGTCCAGAACCACGGTTCGAACCAGACTTTTGGTCCGGTTCTCTGTGGTTCGGTCCATGGTTCCCTCACCAGCCAGAACCGGACCGGAAAACGGTTCTGGGTTCTGGACCTTCACTAATGGTCCAGTTCTGGTTCGACTTTCCCGAACCTTCCCGAACCGTTCCTTGACTTCGAATTCCCTCAACTTCGACTTCAATAACGACGACGTCGGTGTCCATGTCGACATCAAAGCATCATCTTCGAGATTTGCATTATTTGTTAATCGGGCTACTGTTAGCCTTTTTGAAGGTAAGTACTAATCAATCTACTCTCAAGAACTCTTACTGACTGACATATGTTCACCTATATCACAGATATCTACATGTTCTAGTCTATATGCTTCCTGGATAAGCATGATCCTCCACCGGTTGTCATCTCTAACAGATCTCCTTGGATATTGTTGCTCTGTGGTGTTAGGGTCTCCTCCACACATAAAACGAGGTGCTAACAAAAAACTTGTGAGTTATTTGCCTCATGATGTCTGAAGACTGCACACGACCCTGAAGCTATTATTGAGGATGGTTTTGATGTCGGCGATGCTGTTGGAAAAGCATTGGCACTCATTGAACAGGTAAAGTCCTCTCTTTTTGTCTTCGAGTTCTCATTGACACAACCAATAACTAGATCCGTAAATCACCGCAAGCTCAAGCGTTTTTCAAGAAATCATGCGAGGAAGAAGGTGTTGCCGTTCGTGAGATTCTGACATGGGTGAGAACACGCTGGGCTTCCTTGTTCAAGTGCCTCGAGCGCTTCTTGTCTCTTCGCCTGGTAGGTGAGATGTACAACTGCCGGTTTAGTATCTAACATCTTTCAGGCTGTCAACCGCTTCACTCTACTTGCCGATGAGAGCCATGAGGTCCCAAAGTTGCGCAACAAGTCATATAGTGACTTCAAGCTTGATCGAGCCGACTGGAGGAAGATACGGCTAGTGCATGACGTCCTCAAGGTACTTATTTGTATATCTGTTTTTATTTTATTTACTGATTGTTATAGGAACCTGCAACTGCACAGCAATCATTCTCGTCGGTCGCGTACCCAACAGCCTGGCAGACTATACCTACACTAGAGTGTCTCGCTAGCGCATGGGAGACGATGGCAAGAAATCCAGAATACGCAATAATCGCGGATGCCATTACGAAGGGTCTCAAGAATGTTGAGAAGTACTACCAGAAAGCTAGTGACTCGGATGTCTACTTTATCTGTCTAGGTAAGTATCAAGTTTTCGCTCAAGTCCATGTCTCATTTTGTTACAGTTCTTGACCCCAACTACAAGTTAGCATATGTTGAACGGCGATGGACTGAGATGAAGGTCGCGGATGGGAGGGCTCGTCTTCAGGCGGTGGTGAGTACTATTCAACCTTAAGTATCCTGGCGGTCTCTAACTTCAGATGGATGCTTAGTTTGACAAATATTATCAAGCGCCTCCAGCCCCAGGACTGCAACCCAAGGAGCCATTGGCCATGTCAACAACGAAAGCTTCAATTTGTTATGGTGTTACGTCGACTGTAGGTCAGCGTGTGCGAACTAGGATAGTTCTTCTCAGCGACGACTCGAGTGAGTCTACTGAAGCTGAGCATGGTCTGGCCTTGACGGAACGTCAAGGATTCCTCCGGCGATCTCGGTAAGACGGCGCTCGTCGAGATGCAGGGCTAGCGGATACGTGCAAAGTCGTATGGGGGCGACTTTGAAGTGCGGTCTCACACAAGGAAGCAGTTAAGCTAAGATGAGCAAGTTCTTGGTAGAACCTAGTAGATTAAAGTGAAGTTCAATCTACAACAATGTGCCTACTTATACATAGTGTATGTAGGTGTTCAAGCTCAGTCTGTAATCTATAGTATATCGTACATCTAAGATAACCAGACATGAGGTTTAGATAAAGGACATGAGGCTTAACCTCTGATCATACATGCAGCGCCAAGTGCAGCTGCGCAATCAACAGGAGGCGCGTAGAAGCGCTCCGGATCTTCATGAAGCGGCATGCTGTATACATGCGCTGATCTAGGGTGTCCATGAGGCGTACAGCCTTCATGGAACAGGTACAAGGCCGTCTAGGCCAGGGGCGGGGTCATAGCATCAGGCGGGGTCATAGCGCCATGAGGCGGGGTCATAGCGGTCCAAACCGCTGTCTTTCTAGGCGCAGGCGGCGCACCGCCGCGCGGGGAGTCTAGCAGAGCGGGGGCAGGTGTAGGGAGAGCTGGGGCTCTAGTAGGTGTTACAGATCCCTGTAACATATGGTGCTTCCTGGATGCGCGACGCTATCATGGAACGTCAAGCTACAGACCATCGCACGCGCGATCCTCATCAAGAGCTCTCCGCATACCTTACTTCACCATTGGAAGAGACGGATGACGTTGTCGCGTGGTGGGGTGTAAGTCAGCCCTCAAATTCATTGTTCCCCGCTTACATCCTTGATCAGTTACATTCAATGCAATATCCAACGCTAGCTCGTGTTGCGCGTGATTACCTGCCCATTCAAGGCAGTGCAGTCCCATCGGAACGCGCTTTCTCCAGTGCGGGGATCACATTGACTCTGCGCCGCAACGCCCTCGCACCATCCACATTCTCCGCGCTACAATTAATGAAGGCAGCCTATAAGAATGGTCATGTGTCAGCGGCAGTAGAGGCAGAAGAGTACGCAGCTGGTGTGTCATTAGCCTAGCTACCCAATGTCATGTAGATGTATTGTGAATGTTTTTCCTTGCTGCTTGAAAAATTTGCGGTTCGGTTCACGTTCGGACCGCAAAAAAACCGAACCGGACTGTTAAGAACCGTTCTTGATGGTCCGGTTCTGGGTTCGACAATTTTGTAGAACCGGACCATGGTCCAGTTCTCGGTTCTCGTCCAGGGCCCTCTGAACCGGACCGAACCGGACCACGGCAGCACTACAGACGACCGATAATCCTTTGACGCGGAAAGGAATTGGGCATCGCTATCCACCCCCCTTCTTGGCAATCATACACACAGTCGCTTATTGACTCTCTTCGATGAAATGAACGGCACGCTCTAAGCTCTGTTTCGATGACTCATGGCTGCAGTGTTGATGCAGAGTATCTGCCACGACGTGTACTTGGGGAACAGTGATGTTCCAATAATTCATTACGCTTCTCATGTAGAATCTTGGCGTTCTCTGCTGTACATAATCCTACTGAGCAAGCTAAGTCAGGAATCAAAACCATCATGTCTGGAGCAGCCGTTCAGACTCCTCCTTCTACACTGAGTCTCTTGCACAGACGACCTGATAATCTTTTGACGCGCAAAGGAATCGGGCATCTTTATCCACCCCCCTTCTTGGCAATACACACGGTCGCTTGTCGACTCTCTTCGATGAAATGAACGGCACGCTCTGAGCTCTGTTTCGATGACTCATGGCTACAACGTTGATGCAGAGTATTTGCCACGAATGTACTCGGGGAACAGTGATGTTCCAATAATTCATTACGCTTCTCATGTAGAATCTTGGCGTTCTCTGCTGCACGTAATCCGGAGAACATGCATTTCTGGTAGTTCAAAAGTTGAAGAGTATACGAACAGTTTCAAGAGGTGGCCCAAGTTGAAGCCTCGAGTCCGAGCTGGATAGTTGACCATTTCGCACCTTGCTTTTCTTGGGACTCTGTGAGGTACTGGTCGATTGTGATATCGATGCCGGGAAACAAAGAGAGTAGGTGTGTCACAGATTCAATTTGTGCTGCGGTGTGGTTTGCGTTGAATGAGTCGAGATCTGAGAGTGTCGCAGAAATGCGGATGTCAGAACTTGCCCAGTGGAACGTCGGGCACTTGATATTTGATATTTGCCTAAATATGTAGCGCTAACACGCAGCCAGGCCTGCTTGTTGAGAATGTTGTAAATCTAACCCGTCAATATATACAGTAGACAGTATTCTTTCAAGGGCCAGCACCCATCGCTACCAGCGCACAACCCATCACACGCCACGCCACCTGCGCCTATGTTGATGCCCGCCACCTCACTGCATCCCCTCTCACTCGCTTGCTGTTCTTGCCGGCTGGCTTTTGCTGGCTCGCTTGCCATGTCTCACTCGCCCACTGTCTCTCACCCTCTGTCTCTCGCCCGTTGTCTCTCACCCCGCTGGACGCGACCCAATCTTTCAATACAATGAGAGTTTTTGGAGGTACGTTTTATTTGAGTTGTGATGACGCGATGTTGAACGATCACCTTGCACTACAGGCTTTGCGCATCGCGCGATTGAGGACATCATTTGGAAGAACTACCATCATTTTCGTCCTCTCACCTTTGGGTTTGACGCTTGTGCTTCAGGGCTATCGCAAACAATCCTGAAGTCTTCCCCGAACCACACAGGTTTAATCCTCAGCGTTGGATTGACGATGCAGGTTGCGCGCGATAATCTCCGGTTGATCTCCAGTTTTTCACTTTTGGCTTTGGCCGTCGGTGAGTAGTATTGTTCATCTCTTGACCATTTCTTACGCCTTACTTGAAAATGTCAGAGTGTGTCCTCATGAATTGGTCAGTCTTCATCAATACGGCTCTCATCATGTGGGCTTTCCACTTTTCGGAGAATCCTGCGGCCATCAGCATCACAATTTTTTCTGAAGCGCCGGCCACGTCAGCATCTTCAGCAGCTACAGAGGCAGAGGGGTATGGAGTCATCATTAGAGTAGCTACTCAATGTGTAAACTAGTATTTCAATGTTTTGTTTTTCGCGCTTGCCACTGAAAATTTTCGGGTTCGGTTCGAGTTCGGACCAGAAAAAAACCGAACCGGACCACAGAGAACCGTTCTCTGTGGTCCGGTTCGGGGTTCGAAGATTTTGCAGAACCGGACCATGGTCCGGTTCTCGGTTCTCGTCCAGGGCCCTCTGAACCGGACCGAACCGGACCACGGCAGCACTAGTGGTGGTGCCGGCGTCGAGGAACGTGTGAATGGTGGTGGTGGTTGCTGGCTGAGGGCGTCCATTGACGTGCTTAGTGGCGTTAGAACGGGTGCTGGAAGAATTGGCATGGGGGGTGCAGCGAGTGCTGCCGAACGCGAGGATGCTGGTGGTGGCGTGTTAGCAGGTGAGTGCTTGGTGGTGGTGCCGGTTGTAGCGTGCACGTGGGAAGTATCGCGTTTATGGAAGGCACGGGTATAGCTGGGGTACGGGTAAGAGCGCGGGTCTTAGAATCCCAACCCGTACCTGTACCCCAGTAGTACCCGTACCTGTGACCCATGCGGGTTACCCATACCCGTGCAGATCCCTAACTGTATGAACTGGATCCCATAACATCTCCGAGTCTGAATCTACCATCAACTCGTATTGGAACCTTGTGGTTCATGGTATGTGATAACTCGAGCCTTGACAAGTTGAGGATCTAACAGTGAATCTAAACGGAAACGAGACTTCAAGAAAGAAGATGTTGATTCCAGCATTTACAAATCAGCTTGAGCCGCCTTAAGCTGGCCTCGAGCCAGTTCAAGCCGATTTTTGGCTTACGGTTGGTTCGTGGCACTTCGTGCGGCTAACGAGCCGGACCAAACTATACATAAATGGCCTGGCTCACTAGGATAGCCAAAATGCTGACAAACTGCTGAACACCAGACCGGAGCGGGCCGAAGCCGAACTGCGGTTGTACTACTATGGATGGTACATGTCCCTACAGTGTTGTACTTGCTACTCTAAGTCTCTATTACTAACTCGTTTGTCGACACGTTCTGTTCTTTCAATTCTCGTTGCAACATCGATTGGATGACAAAGCATCCATATATGGTCTAATTGACGTTACTATCACGCTGTCACGGTAGGGGGGGGGGGGGCGTATCCGAAGCTTTGGCAGGTGTATGTCATAAACTTCTCGATCGCACACCTCTTGTACCAGTTGGTCCAAAGCTGTTCACTAATTATGGGGGTCAGAGAAACCTTGATAACAAAGCACGAGATTGCATACCCAAACCAGAGTAAAGATTTGAAGGCAGTTCAGGCTCTTCTTATTCCCCAGCAGTCGGCTTTGTGTAGATCAGCAGGAGAATTACATCTGGTTGGAACGTCTAAAATGGTGAAACCCCCTCTGTTTAGAATATGATTACATGCTTCTGGCTACACACCTGATATACGTCCCAGAGGATGCCATGATCATACCCGCAGCTGCTGGAATCGTCCTCATTGAGCAGCTTATCAGCTTCTCCTGTGACGGGCAGAGTGTGCGGATGCGACCTAATGCCAGACGGGCCCCACTCGACCATAGTTATCACATCCGATGTCTCGTATAGGGTTGCGCAACTTGTGTAGATGATGTCGAGGGTAGCAGAGTACACTGTAGAGCTGGGAGGAGTGATTGTAAAAAATTTCGAACATTTTCAAAAACACTAGACATTTGCCAAGTCATGGAGCAGCAACCGCATGGTGTCAAGAGCTCGTCGTCACACATGAACCAAGTGCGAGATAGACAAACCTGATACGCTTAGATCACACTAGCAAACAGGGTGACAGAAGAGGTAAGCTATGCGGGCAATAGGAGGAGCATGGCTTACGTCCTCTACATCATCAACGCGTCATCGATGCGTCATCTGGACAACTCGGATGACATCGGGTCGAGAAATAACACGGGTAAAAATGGACGCAGTTTGAGTCAGGAAAGAGGCCGACTTGCGAAGTATGGTTTCAGACCTGAAGGCCTGACGGTCGAGTCGCGGCGTGACCATTCGCGACCGAAGCCGCGATAAATAGGGTCCATTTAGGGCTGCTACTACAATTGATTCATACCTGTATAAAATTTGGACGTCAAATATCCCGAAAATGTTATGTTTGTATCGACTAGACACTCACTGGGGGTGTCGGTGGTTTCTTTGGGCCCTTATAGCATTATAAGTCATATGACCGCAGCAGACACGGCAGGACACATAGGGAATGTAACCTAAGGCAGCAGACACTGTAACTTGAACTCACGTTGCCAAGCGGGAATGAAACAAGTCAGTTAGTCCAATTTAACCCCATACCCTGGCTTATCTCAACCACAGTAGCACTGTGAGAAATACACCAGGGATCATGTTCAAAAGGAATCGAACATGTCATAGATCACGAAAGCAATGTACCGTCTCCAGGCGCGAAGCGGCGGACGAATCAGCCAATATATGGCAGGGATACATGCCGTATCCTTACAGCACCAGTCAGAGTGACACAGATGCGGCTACATGTGCACACTACACTGAGTTCAGCATATTTGCTACAGTGATTGACCTTAAACCAGGAATGAAAAGTTGTGGTCATACTCTTGCTGCTTGCATGATTTGATGAATTGGTTTGCTTACCGAGGCTCTGTGGATGCTGTCACGTCGTTGAAAAGTAGGGACTATAATACTTCTAATTGGCGTGTCTACGGGAGCCTATCCTGTGCATGGCCAGTGCAGCGCTGGTCCCTTCACGTGTTACAGACTATAAGTAGCCGGGTTTGTGCTGACATATGACTCCGCACTTCTCGGAGTTTTGAGAATCATGATGGATAAATTCACTGGTCAGGGAATGTGGTTAGCGATCTATGTATGGAGGTAAACACGTACTAGCTCGATCGATCAGATAGATAGAATGGATTTATACTGGAAGGTACCCTGTGGGTTGACGTTGATGTGACAGATATAACACTGGGGAAAAAACGAGATTATGGACCGGTGGGTCATTATGTAATAGGTTCTGGGGTTTGAAAATTTGATTTTGAACACGTGCTTTGATTAGTTACTAGTCGGTTCAGTCCAACCTATTCAATTGGATTGCGTGTTGAACTCTTTTTTACAGATCTGGTCGTACATATGATGATGGTGTCCAATTTTGGCTACCTCGCCGACGGGTCGTGCGAACGCTAGTAGCTCCTGAACGTTGAACTCCTGAAGCTTTGAAGCTTTGAAGAACGACCATTTAAATATTCACATGTGATCTCTGGTGCAGTTACTACAGTCCCACTGGCATATTCGTATTCAGCAAGACCTGAAGTCTAAGCAATATGGCGATATCCAGAAGATGGGCTCAGTGAATTGTGATTTCTTGACGGGCTGGTGGCATGTCCGTGGGGTGAGGAGGTAGAACCGTATAAACGTTGTATGATCAAGCAATTGGCAGTTTTTATGTCATAGTGGATGCGCGTGCGATGGTCGACGTCCTGTTGATTTTGTATGATATTGTAACTTTCCTCAAAACAATTGCTAAGTGCTTTTAGGTCGGCTGCAATATAAGTAACTTTGTATTTACTTCTATTTATATTACATTGCTCACGAGGTTGGGCCGTTAGACTGGGGCGTTGGGCATTTACTCCCCTATTAAATGCCCTGGATGCCTCGTGTCGACCAGTTTAAATCTGGCTTCCACCTTGGTCTAAACTACGGTCCTTCATACCACACGTCAACTATTTGAAGCCTTCGAAGTTTTTGAAACATGTCGAAACCGACAGCAGCACAGCTCAAGGATGAAGGCAACGACTTCTTTAGGAAGCAAGACTACGTTGGGGCATTAGCAAAATACACCGAGGCTATTGCTCTGGATGACAATAATGCCATTCTATATGCGAACCGTGCTGCTTGCCAGTATGGATTGAATAGGTGAGGTCACAGTTATAGAGCTGCAGTAAAAACAGCTGACCGTAATTTTCAAATAGATACCTAGACGCTGTTGATGATGCAAAGATGGTACTGATGCCAGCATCGTATACGTGGAGAAAACATTAATGCGTCTTAGGCCACGCAGATTGATCCAGGCTATGCCAAAGCGTGGTCGCGACTAGCAGCATCTCAAGACGTAAGTCCTTGCGCGCGCGCCGCTCCCCTCTTGCATAATTTGACATCGTGCATAGGCCCTCGCAGACTTCGAGGAAAAGTGCTGAAGCGTGGCAGAAGGCACTGGATGCACTCCCAAAAACCTACCTCAGTCCCGCAGAGCAGCGGCAGAAAGATCAGTATAGTGCCGGTCTGAATGCAGCCCAAACCCGTGGCAAGACCCCAAAGAACCGATGTTTGCTCGTGTCAACCTCGATGATGGCAATCTCCCTTGGAAAATTGCGACAGAGATGCTTCCTGAACTCCGGGAAAGCGGGTCTCGAAAATTTTTCTAGTAGTGTGAGCTTCATTTATAATGTTGTATACTACCGCTAAACAGTGGTACCTTTTATGTAGGCTTGGCTGATCTCATATGCATACAAGGTATGTTTGCGCCTTTCTATGTAATAAGGTCCTATTGACATGTACTAGGAATTCACGAAAGGGGTGGAATCTATTAATCAATTGAAATCCATCCCTCACTCTCAAGCTCCAGGAGGCCTTTCCTATCACGGAAATCTGATGGTAAATTCAAGTTGTTTTCTTCGGCTTGCAATGTCATGGTACTTAACATGTATAGGGCTTGACGTATTTGACCAATGGTTTGATGCGTGACGAGCGCGTGTTCCATATAAATCACCCCGACTGGATTACCAAGTACAATAACCAAGGCAATCTTATTCTAGCATCGCGTGAGGAATCACACTGACCGAGCTTCAGTCACATTCGAGGCTACGACTCACCAAGCCTACTCCGGCGGGGTCGAAACTATTAAGGAACTGATACAGAAACGCCTGAAGGAAAAAGGATGGAATGATGTACGGCCTGCTTTGTCGGTGACAGTTCGGTGCGTCGTATGAGCTTGGTATCGTAATATCTATTGATCGTCCAGTGCAGTAAATGGATAATGAAAGGCATGCTGGAGAGCCATCTGGGAGGCAGACCTGACACCGGTGTTCATTTTTTGAAACGAGCTGTTGACTTGCTTGAATGGGGACGAATTGTTTGGAAGAATGTTCACAAAGATGATCGTGGAGTGATTTTCCAGGATAATTTTTTGCGAGGCGTGCGTAGCATGCACCTCACGATGTCTATGAACGTGCGTTGCGAGTCATGTTTCTTTTGGTACCTGCTTAATCGCATGACAGGCTTACAGCAGCGACCCTAGCTTGAACTCCAAGTTTCATCTTGAACAACTGAAGGAAGAAGCTGAAGACCTTCTCAAAGAGATTGACATCATGATAGCATCAAATAACCTTAGTAAGGAGGAACTTGACCCTGGCATGGTATTGTCTTTTTGTGTCTATCCTGCTGCAATTGCTCATAAGTATGTCTTTGTCTGTTTCCCTGCGCTTCTGTCCCTTTCTCATGGTTGCCTTGCTTTTCAGGACGATAGGATTCTATCATGCACAGAAAGCTCGGTACAGCAATGGTGTTCCTGCGTGTATTAGCCTTATGAATGGGGTAAACGCATACTTGCAGGCAGCTAATACATACCCCGTGGATGACGAATTTCATGCATGTAAGTGACCAACACAGACTCGCACGCGTGGTTTACCACTACTTCCCAGTTTACTTGAGCTGCGCTATGGATTGTATGCGAAATGCCGGTGTCTTATTGGCGACTTCAACACAGCTGCCGTTGCTTTACGGGCAGCCGTGCCCAAGATGATGAAGATATGGGCGTTCTCTATTCTGCAGCGAGGCGGGCGAGACGAGAAAATACAAGCACACTTGCGCCGCGCAGATGAGATGATGAAGCTTGTCGCTGAAGGAAAGTTGACACTGGAAGATCCTGTGCCTTTCTGATCATTGGGATTGATGCATTCTTGTACATACTACTCGTGTAATTGTATGCTCTTGTGCTTTACATGGCCATCTATATAAGTATCTTTCACTGAAGATACGGGGACCCTTTTGCAGATGCGCCACCCGTGGCGGGGGGATAATGATGCTCAGGCCGTTACTAGAGCAGTTGTAGGATGCAGGGCTTGTAGAGTTCTCATTCAGTAAAATACTGTAGACGCACCCAAAAATCGAGAGATAACTCAAGTAAGTGTCTTGGTCCAGAACAGTAGAGACAGAAGAAAGACATACCTAATTCAACCACTCCGAAGCCTAACATCTCGAGATTGACGTCCACGCGTGGATGAGATCGGAGCCTCATGATACGTCGAGCGGCCAATTGACCCGCCGAGTTCCTGATGATACTTGGAAGACAGCCGGATTACATATAATCCATTGGACTATTTGTTCGTGATAGAACATAAGAGCATAGAGTGGTCACGTTGAGTCTAAGGTCGGTTCGATTTTCCGCGACACTTGAATATTTAGAAGTCCGATCGAAGCGTACCTGTGATGTCACACTCAAACACATTCCCTTGTTTGAAACAGGTACTCGGGTACGACTACGAACGAAGAACGACCATTCATCGGCATTCGGGTGCCAGTGGAGCTCCCGCAGGCCATGAGGTTCTACAGTCACATGCACGGCGGCGATGGTTATCGAGACAGGGAAGTTTGAGGTATCAGCAATACGGACTGTACTGCCTGGTGTCTCGAACGGGAGTTAGACGAGAAGGCAGTGCGTGAAACGATGCTCAGACTTCGGAACGTCAGACAGAAAGCCAGGCGGGGATGTATCAGGCGTGACCCCCGAAAAATATACTTTTCTGTTGACAGTATATATATTTTTTCTTTTTGCAATGACGAGGAGAACTGACGCTATCGTCAGGTTCATCACCTTTCTGTGAAAGCTTGTCGAAGACGCTGGGATCAAGGCCATAGTTCTTGGCCATCACCTCCTTGGGCATATGAGCCAGCCAGTTTGAAAGGAGGAAGGTCTTGTCCTCTGAGAAGTTTCCGTTAGCATGAACTCGCACCCACCCTTGCTGACACCTTGAATAGAATGAGGTTGACCTTTTGGTGCGTACCAGATATTTCTCTTGGTCAGATTAGCCTCATGAGCACCTCCGTCATCAAGAATTGTGCACCTGCAGCCGCCCAGTAAGGGCATGTACACCCATTCCATTTCACGATGCCTATGAAGCTCTCGGACGGCTTCCTCGTCGAAACGCATATCTACTCCCGCGAGCTCGGTAGAGGTCGGGTAATTTGCGGACTGTAGTCTGACGTGCCCATCTGTCATCTTCAATATGCACATGCCAGTCTGCGAATGACCATTTGAGCGAAGGGAGAGTACTATGGTCCGTTGAAGGAGGGTGGATGAGATTAGGAGCTTGCTTTTCATGCTCAGGGTTTCGAGGCCCGATGATATTGGAACCGCGATCACCGCGACGGGGCTCGGGAGGATAGTCAACTACGCGCAGCTATCTGTGACAACTTGTGCTGGTCACTTTTGTTCAGCCTCTCAGAATTTGTATGTGCGCAGAGATGGGGATGGTGCCATGCGATGGCATTTGTATACTAAGTAAGTTAAAGTTACCGCATGCGCCAATGCACATTCATGACTAGATAATAGCTTCTCCTACTATCTTAGGCCTTACTATGATCTTCTGGGTTTGTGAACGGGTCTTCTTCATCATCCTGGTTAACATAGATGAGTTCCACGAGGAGTTGGAGTAGTGGAATGTTCGAATCCGTACCTGTTCCTGCTCTTTCTTCTTCAAAATCCCTGTACGCCGCTGACGCCCATGTTCGACTAGTTCTGGGTTCTTCGTGATCTTTCCCTTGACCTCCTCTTGCAAGCCGCCGAGCTTTTCTCCAAGACCCTATAACGCGACGCGACTCAACTTCGTTCAACTCTGAGATGTGGTAGATGTAAACTTACTACTCCCTGTCCGTACAAGGGACCGAGCCCGATAGCTCCCGCGTGTCTTTGCGGCGGAAGCTGACTGTCGGTAAGGGGTTCAGACGTTGGTTGAGTTGAGGCTTCGGTGGAAGACGCATTGGACGTTCTGGGTTGGGTGTCAGTGCCTATGGCAGACGGGTGGGCAGTAGACGAGGACATCGCACTTCTCGTAGTTATCAATTAATTTGAGTTGGGTGGGAGAGTAGAGTGTCACGGTTTGCCTGGACTTTATACCCTTCGAGTGGCTTTGCAGTGTCGATATTAAAATAATCGTGACGTCAATGGATACTAGTAGATGTCCGACGTCACTCTGCAGACCTGGTCGATGGTGGATACTATGTGGTGTAGCGACCATCGATTGGATCTGGAAATACATCAAGGTCGCCCCACCCCCCACTTGAGTTGTGCCTCCGTTGTGTTGCCCTCTCACACCCACTCCGCTAAAACTACTTGTTGATACAACTTGTCATCCAAGCTTTTAACGTCACTAGCACCTAGTATGGTGGCATCATGTTCGATCACTTCGATTGCGCTTGGTGGTTGTAAAGCAGTTGAGCAGGGCGTTTCAGAGTGATGATACAGATAATGAGGGGTAGGTGTAGATTAATTAATTATGATCAGTTTATGCAGACCGTTTCGTCACTACCTTTGATGGAATCGGAGGAGAAAATAGGAATAACAACATCGATTTTGACCAAGTCGCACACGTACGCAGGAGGTTAGATGTACTACGATTAGGTCTGGGAATATATTATGACCACTCTAGCTCAATCGAAGCCCGGGAAGATGTTGCTAATTGTCATAGGTGCTTCGGGCTGCCCTAGGGCATCGCGTCTTAACAGCTTGAATTCAGGAGTGATGAGTGCTCCACTACCCTTCCGAAGTCCAAATGTTGATAAGAATAGCGCGTAACGTCACAACATAATAATAACTTGCTTCGGGCGCTCAAAGAGTTCACACACTGTTCACTATCTTCCTCCATCATGGATGCTTCAGAGATAAGACAGAGAGTCAAGCGCTTCCGAATCCTCATTATCGGAAGAGCGAATGCAGGAAAAACCACCATCCTGCAGAGGGTTTGTAATACACGCGAGAACCCAGAAATATATGATAGCGCCGGTGAAAAGGTGCGAAACATGATATCAGTCTACTACTAGTAGGACTGATTGACCGATGGACTTTGGAAATTAGATCGATCCCGCCGTGTTAATGGCATCTAGAGAGGTAGAGCATGTTCTTTCATGTTGGTGACATCACTTGACCAGTTTTCAGCGCGGACTGCATGATATCGAAAATGAATTGGTCTTTCAAAGTAACCCTGAATTTGTCTTCCATGATTCACGCGGGTTTGAGGCTGGAGGACAGTTCGAGTTTGACAAAGTGAAGGCTTTTATCACAAGTCGTTCTAACAAGAGACTCAGTTTGGATGGTCGAATCCATGTGATATGGTAATCGGTCGATTTTTAGTGTGGGCTATCTCACATCTTTGGCAAAGGTACTGCATTCCGATGGATGAGGATGCCAGGTCTTTCACGGAAGCGGAAGTCAAGTTTTTTACTCAGTGCGACACTGGAAATAGTAATCTTTCATATCTACCATTCGTGTGTCATCGACTCATTCACGATTCTCAGTTGCAGTAATAGTGTTGTTCACTAAGTTCGACGCTCTCTACGACGATGAATTCGCAGAGCTAATAAGTAAGGGAGTATCGAGAAAAGATGCTGAAGCGCTGGCCCCGCAGCATGCCAAAGAAGCATTCGAGAATGGGCCACAACTAAAGCTTTTGTACAACCGCAAGGGCAACCAACGTCCTCCGGGATGTCACATATGCCTGGCAGGTAAGTCCACTAATTCTCGAGCTGCTAATAAGCAATTCATTGCTTATCTTTGCTCTCCGACATTTAGATATGGACAAGCACGACGCAGACTGCGGGATACTTATCGAATGCACGGCCGAAACTCTGGATGATGATACGCTCAAACGGATGTTTATCTCAACTCAGCGGACCAACTTGGAGCTGTGCATGAGATTTGCAGTTGAAATGTGACTCCTCAAACCTCACTTATCTGCGGCGAGAAATAACTCACTATATATTGAGAATACTTGCACAGCATCTTGACTTCTCCGAGACAATCTCATCCCGCATATCTGGGAAATCAAACCGCCAGATTTTGGACCAGTTGGGTGGATGTTTTCCATGGACTTTAGTGAGAATGTAGGAAATTTTTGAAAACTCCTCATTTATATTTGATGCTTACATTTAGACAGTATTAACCGTCTGAACATCTCTGTCAGCATACTGACCTAAGGATTGCTGTTCCCTTGACAGGACGTGAGTGTGTCGATCATCTGTTGAGCTCGAGCCTCGCTGATCCCTTGACAGGGTGTGAGTGTGTTGATCATCTGTTGAGCTTGAGCCTCGCTGATCCCTTGACGGGGTGTGAGTGTGTTGATCCTGCGTCGAGCTCGAGCCTCGCTGACCGAAGACGTCGCTGATCCCTTGACAGGATGTGAGTGTGTTGATCCTGTGTCGAGCTCGAGCCTCGCTGACCAAAGACGTCGCTGACCCCTTGACAGCCGGTGAGTGTCTTGATTCTGTGTCGAGCCCGAGTACTGATAATCACAGTATGCAAGTAGATTTATCCTGGACTGTTTCTCCCTTTTGATCACGATTCGTCAGCATTACCGCCCCGAAGAAGATCAGATGTGGTCCACGTTACGACTCGGATTTTCGGCATGTCCCATTGCTCACAGCTCATGCACACAATTCTCACCTGAAAGGTTTACTAGCCCTCTGGGTCGTCAACATTGGAGAATATTTTGCAGCTTGGTTCTGGTGAGATTCTATACCACATCGCAATGAATCTGCTGATTATTGACCATAAGCTGCTGTCATTATTTTCGAAAATGCATTCTATCTTCGGAGCCAGCAACGTGATGGACTTGGGCAGGAGTCTGTTCACCCTGTTCGTGTTGCTCTTCAGCAGTACATCGCGTCTCCCAACGCAGCTGCAGTCAGGGAAGCTCTGAGCTCTGCCGTTCGCACATATGAAGCGGGCTTCTCTCACTTGATACCAGGATCGGCCAAACGCTTTCAGAAGAAGGCGGAGTTAATCGACACAATTATTGAAGTTGTTTTACAGCATCGCTTGCGTAGGTGATATCTGATGCAGTTGTCATACGTCCCGCTGATATATTCGTGTTCAGCAAGACCTGAAGTCTGAAGTCTAAGCAATATGACGATATCTGGAAGATCGGGCTCAGTAAATTGCTGTTTCTTAACTGGCTGATGGCATGTCCGTGGAGGTGGTTAAGGAGGTGGAGCTGTACGAAAGTCGTATGATCAAGCAGTTGGCGGTGTTATGTCATGGTGGACGCGCGCGCGATGGACTACGTCCTACTCATTTCGGACGATGTTGTAATTTTCCTCAAAGAAAACAAATGTGTATTTCCATTCGATTGCTTTCGCGTTGTCTGAATCGGCGGTGGCGTGGTGCACAACGATGCGATGGGTGGGCTTTCGCATTGAACGTCCCTGGTATAATGTTATGGTTATAAATTGACATGGATGAACAGCAACATTGCTACAAAATGTATCAAAGGTACCTTCTCAGCGCGAACTAGCGTGTTGTCGGTAGACCAACCCCGACACTGACAGAAAAGTCAGCACACGAATAGCGATCAAGTCAAAAGCGGACACTTACCATCTCGAATCATGATACCGAGCGGTTACAAAAGGACATGATGGTTCAAACTTCAAACTGCGTAGATTTCACTAGGGGAGTGAGTTTGCATTTGGAGCGTCAACTGCTGAGCAGGACATCATATGATATCTCCATCGCTGTCATCGAAGGATATGATCTTTTTCAACCAAGACCAGAAGCATGCCATTAATTTTACTGAGTGGTGACCAGGGCGTCGCGGTGGTAAATGACAAGAACTCATCGATGAATTTCCCCTGATGTACTAGTAGTCCGTCGGCTCAAGTCAAGCTCCTGAGCACGCTCATATGTTGGTCGAAGATCAGTCCTAGAGGCATTAGGACGCATTGAAGTAGGAGGACAGCAGTTCAGGATGAATTACCACCGCGACACGTTCTTTTTGGGCCATTGATGGATCGGAGCCTGCAACTGCATGGTGACAAGACGATAGACGCGATCCTCACTGGAACGGTGAACTTATAGACGGCACCAACTAGATAGATTTATGTATTTCATATTTGATCAAAGCCCCTTGAGAGAACTGTTCATGACATTTTTAGATTGGTAATTGGATGTATTCAATGACTAACGCTGATGAGAATGTGAGGATTATATACTGTGTGGTGATGCTGTCAATGCTAAGTGGAACCGCCAGTCACTATAAAGCTATTATCGTAAAACGTGAAGTGGATAACAGGAGGCAAAACAGATTAAGCTGCTTGACCAGCAGCCGTCGTACCAGTCGACGCGGCCTTAACAAGTACCAGCAACAGGTATCAAGTCCGCATCCACATCACAGACCTCATGGGTGCCAGTGAATGCACCCATATGGCCAACAGCAAGATTCCTAGCACCGATGGGCACAATGCCAGCATCATGAGCCAGACCAACATTACGAGTCGCTTTGAAGCCATTGGAGGTGCCCTTAACTGCGCCAGAGGCAGGAGAAACTTCCTTGGCGCCCTGGACGCCTGCGGGACCTGCGTAACCGCCGGGAGTGAGACGCTCAGTCGCACGAAGGACTGGGTGGATGACGCCAGTGCCATGCTGAATATCACCAATAATATCACGAGTCTTCAAACCACCGACTGGAGCGATAGCGCTGCTTGCACTGTGCTTTGGTACGGTAACCTCGCGACGAGAAGACTTGAAACTTTCCGTGCTTTCAGTTGAAGCACTAGAGCCAGGAGTAGCAGCTCCGCTTTGTTGCTCAGAGCCAGCGGTGAAACGTTCGGACTCGGGAATGCATGTATCCGAAGCAGAACTGACGACGAACCCCTTTGCGCAGTCTTTCACAATGCAACGCCCGTTACCACAAGAAACAGTGTCAGGGATGACGCCCTTGATATCCGTGCAGTTCACGCCAGTGACGGGTGCGTGTCCGAAAGGACATGCCTCAACACATCCACCACCTGTTGATATGAGAGTCTAGTGACGTAACGGCGAGGAGACAACTTACAAGTCGTAGGATCGGTTGTAACATCGACGCACTTCCAAGGTTGACCAGTGCTAGTACCAGGGACCCCACACATGGTGCGGCCAGCGGCACAACGGGGCTCATTGTCACGACGGGACGGAGGTGCTTTGCTGGGGCACACCGTAAAAGGACCGCACTTTCCATCACACTCCATGAAGTTGTCAGGGCATTTACAAGAAGTGGGCCTCTCGGAAGGGAAGGCTAGGTACCCATCAGCGCATTTAAAATCACACGGATTGGAATCCGTGCAAAGAGGACGAGCGTGATCAGGGTAAGAGCAGTGCGAGGCTGTCGGAAGGTCTGTGATCTATTACAAGACAAATTCAGCGAATGCAACTGAGAATATACAGAAAATATTTTACCATGTCCGAGATCAAGGACACCACCTTAGATTCGTCACAAAGAAGTTCGACAGCTTTCTGTGCGACGGCGTTTGATTCCACGAATTCGGCAACATCTGAGAGGCAAAGGCAAGCTTCGATGTGGCCTGCAACAGTGGGTTTGCCTGATTCAAACGATGGTCGGCTCTCGAGTCTCAGAGCAAAAGAAAACTAGCATACCATAGTCATCGAAGACATCGTTGAGAACCAGGTCAGAGTTGAGAGAGCCACAGACACCATCTGGCATAAGGGTGCGCCTGTAATGACGCGGTAGCTTAGAGAGAGCGAATGTAGTTGATATAAAGAGGATGGGGACAGCAAATGATGATAATCTCATGATGGTAAAGAACGACTTGGAAAAGAATGTGAGATAGGTGAGAGAAGTGAGAGGGAAGGGCTGAAGGAGAAAGGACGACGAAAGGTCCGTTATATATGCTAGGGCTAGCCATTATAGTATTAAATACACTCGCTTATGAGGCTCTTCACAAAATTCACCACAAAAGTTATAACATACCTGGTGACGTCACGCGTGGTGGCGTAGAACTGTTCACAAACAGTCAACGCGTTGCGATTGGGTGAAGAGCTTGAGCTCGAGACCGTGAATGCCATTTTGCAAGGCAAGCGTAACCAGATTCAAGTTGAATCGAGAGGCAACTGAGGACGCAGAAATATAAGATTTCCGAATCGGAGCTAATTATAATTACCAATTCAATAACGGAGTATAAGTATGCTATATTAGCCTCCGGCCGCACGGTGAAAAGAAAACACAAACTCTGTTCACCGGTTGTCCAGTGCAGCTCGAGCCTGTTGTTCGTCGTGGTGAAATCGGAATTACTCGGGCTGATCAATCAATGACGCAGTCCCGGTTGCCCGTATCGTTCCGCACTCAACTCCAAGTCTCCACGCCAGGACGGCTCCCCCCGATCGGGCGCCAGTTACCAAATATAAGTACTGCAGACTGTTTGACTGGTTTACAGACGAAAGGCAACAAGAGCAAGCTTCAAAACCTCACACTGATACAACAATGAAGATCCTCACCCAGGAAGAAATCGACGGCCACACCAACGCTACCATCCGCGGTGTAATAGAAGGCGCACTTCTAAGCGCAGGCGTCGCTATCTCCGGTTCACTACTACTTAACCGTCGATGGGCATCCTACCGGGCACTCCCTCTACCTTTAAAGGTCATGGGTACTGTCCTGTTGATCGCGCCTTGCATATCCATCCAGGCAGAACGACGTGGTCTAGAATTCGATCGTGCACACTGGTGAGTCCCAATTCCTGAACCGAATATCGCCCTCTAACGCCACACAGGACTGGCGCAGGTAAAATGGAACTGGATAGAGAAGCAGCAGTGGAAGAAGCACGATGGGGGGCTCTGACAACGAAAGAAAAAATCGGTGACTGGGCAACACGACACCAGTATAGCATCATTCTTGGAAGTTGGGCTCTATCAGTGGCAGTTGCTGGCACCATTATCTCTAGAGATAGGTTCGTGGCTTCCCTTACATCGACGGTTCTTCCTCGTCTCTGATTACAGACATGTGCAGACATCAGACGATACCCCAAAAGGTCGTTCAAGTGCGTATGTGGGCACAGGGCTTGACTATTGGCGTCTTGATTGGTGCTGGTATCCTTACGCACAATCAGCGCCAAGCCGCCCTCCAGCGCGTGAGTTCCAAGGTTCATGTATCTATATGGCGTGTATACTAATTCGTTCCAGCGGCCGGTTGACCACTCATGGCAAGCCTTGGTTCGTGTAATTACCTTGTCACCGACCCACAATACTCATCACCCTTATACAGCTTGCAGAGCAAGCAAGAGAGAAGGAGGAGCAAACAAGGGCGCATCTAAACGCTCCAAGTGCCTCCTACCCTCTATAGAGTGCTCGCACTTGTTACCCACCCATAGACGGATACATTCATCTCATGATTATATATTACCCTGCAACCAAGGTTTCTGGAGTCAGTGCACAATTACTTCATTTTTCGTTCTGGGTCGATGGTTCTAAGTTGGAAATACCTGCTCAGCCGACGCTTGACTTCATGCTTCAAAGTTTGAACTCTATATTCTGTATGTGGTACAGAGAGTGACAGCAGCTTCTTCTTGTGGGTTTGCTAGTTCGAATATTCCATGACGCTATCTCACATTGAATTATGACTGTGGACAATTGCAGGCCCAGATTTAATCCAGAGCGTTGGTGCGTGTATGTTCTTCGCTTGAGATTTGGCATCCACAGGCGCTGGTGTGTCTGTTCTTTTCTTGAAATTACACAAACCCTTATTGCGAACGACGTTGTCGTGCTCCTGCTGAGGGAACATCGCAACTATGAAATATGGCTTCAGCACAAAGCGAACTTTCTGAACGCCTCTTTGTGGCACAATGTGGCTTATGTGCTCGTCGTGTGCTGGCGAAATACATGTTGCCCATCGTGGTGAGTGTGGTCTCTCGCGTCGACCGGAGTTCAACATATTACCCTATCTGATGGATTGAACTATAACGTGCACATATACTTGTTCTCCCGCTGTCCATGCAAGAGAACGGTCGCATCGGTAAATAACCGACGGGTTGTAGTATTCTAGACAAATCAGAGTTTTTGTCCAAATCCCGTGACAGTAGCAATACATAGCATTAATATTGACATGAAAACAACGAAACGATCCTTAGACTCGAGCTTGGGGTCTGAGGACCGAGTCGTCGTATGGGTAAATAGCGTCCAAGGTATAAGTGTCATTATTCCGTTCGTCCTCTCGTAAAAGCACACCTCCAACAGAATATCCACTTCCAGATATAGCGACTCACACTTCCCCACCGCACTCTCTATTCAGGATGCTGGCACCTCCGGGTACAATATAGCCGCCCCCATTTCGTCCACCAATCCTCCACCGCTTCCCGAGCGTCAAAAGCGAATAGGTCGATATACTCTTCCCATGTGTCACGCAAAAACTCTTCTTCTGCGTCGTCCCAGTCAAGCAACGCACGCGCTCTCGCATCTCGTAAACCGTCATCGCGAGCTTGCTGTTCAGGACCGAAGGGCAAGCATACGAAATCTCGTTTCCGTAGTTCCGAAGCTTGCGTTGCGGCGCAACGTGGCTGCCGCAGCTCTTCGTAAGCGGAAAGGAGAACGGAGGTATGTGATTTAGCAGCTGGGAGAGAGAAGAGAGTCGATAGTGTCATGGCATCCTCTATCGACATTGCAGCGTTATGTGACCCGTTGGGCTGTAGAACCAGGATCATTGGGTGATGTATATGATGAGGAAGGAAACGTACATACCATCAATGGGTGGGCGGCCTCACCAACTAGCACTACTCTTCCACTTTCATGAACCCAGTTATCAAAGGGTTCGTAGATAGTATGGCTAGTTGGAGTCATGGTCTGCGCAAATCGTACTAGCTTTTGTATTCTGTTCACCAACATCAGCAATGTCGAGGGAAATGAACTACAAACATACTTAGGTTCAAAGCGGTCCAGCTTCAAAAACTTCTCATCCAAAGGTTGTGACCGTGCCCATGAGTCTTGTGTTGGTTTTCCATTCGTAGGAACATGCATGACTATGGCATATTCTTGTTTGAATGACTTGGGATCAACCTTTTGGAAAGTTAGGTAGTGTTCTATCGGGCATTCGTGACCAGGGTACACACGGTGAGTAGCCCATGCATCGCGCAATCATCGCCCAGCCATAGTGACCACTAATTAAGCGTTAATATCATATAAAGATGCGATCACCACCTTCATTTTCATACCTCTGGTGAGACCGTTAATTGAAAAAGATCCTTGTGTGGGCGCATCAGGTCTGCGGGCACGGTGATGCTACGAGCGGTAAACCGCATTAGCCGTAAAAACAAATGATCGGTAAAAGGAGTACTTACTTCACCGATACGCGCTTATCCATAACGCCTTTGATTCCTTCAGGACCAACCACCACAGGACGAACGACGCTCCTGTAACCATCCGCACCAATAATCACGTCCGCAGACAATTTAGCACCCTTGCGCGTGATCACCACGCCCTTCCACGGATCGACCGAAACGACTTCCGTGTTATACCGGAATTGAACGCCGGCATTCTTGGCAAACTCGACGAACATCGCGTGCAATGCTCCATGCTATTACATACTCATCAAAGATCCGGAAATGTCGCATATAATGAACGCGGCGGACCTGCATATATAGAAAATCCGCCGCCAATGCCTTCATAAGCTTCTCGTGCAGTACGAGAGGGCCGAGTTCTTCCCCGGATTTCCCTGCAAGGAAACTTTATGAATACAGACGGAAAGCGGAGATCTTTTTGGGCATTATTTACCATCCCTGAATGTAAACCTGTTAGCTTTTATTGAAACCCTGGCGATTGCAGGACCGAGTCCCCAATGATTCAGCAGGCGCGTCATATTTGGTGGACACCGTATTCCGCCGTGACTCTAGATTGGGTCTAAAATTCATACCGCCCAGGACTGGATGAAATTGATTACATACATTACATCTCCCGTCGCCCCGCTCCACAACCAATACTTGATGGCCCACTTCTTGTAGAGCATATGCGCAAGCGACGCCTGCGATGCTCCCTCCAACGACTACAAAGCGCAGCATCTGCGAAGTCCTTCTGGGGATGTTCTGCGGTTCTCCCGGCATGATGAATGTCGAGTCCTGCGATGATGAAAAGTGTGGGTACGAGTCGCAGGTAGCAAATGGTTATGGTTATGTAGCCCGGTGAAGGGAACTTAAGTTGACAGCAGCGATTCCACCACGCGGAGACCGGTGGAGTTGTGGGTGAAAGTGGACTTTGTCGTGCTCAGTAGGTGAAAAAAAAGCAGTCCTCACTCGAAGAAGGGAAGCGAGCCCATTAATATATGGTTCGCTACATGCACCACAAAAGAAGATTCTCCGGATTCATGATTTTGCTGGTATAAATCCGTGCATTCGTTATCAGTTTTTCATCATCGCACGTAGGTCGGTCGGTCGGTCTACTCGAAACCGGCCGTCCCACGATGACACTGATTCTTGTTTACTCACTGGGAGAAGAGAATTGGGTTGGTTGTGTGGATCTATGTAGCCATTCTGTGACTTGGTAGACCAAGGAATTTACAAGTCAGTACTAATGGGTTATCATGCATGCATATGATAGAACGGAATTTCTTCACTCTCGAGACGCTCTCGGTCTGTGGGGAAGCGGTGCACCGAGGGGTGGGGGTCATGCGGGTGTAGTGCTATTCTGGTTGTTTTCTTGTTTTTCTGTAGTCTGATCGATCGCTACAAGTCATTTACGTAAATATTACACATGAGTTTTATTTATGGCTCGTCTGGCACAACCAATAAGAGTCCTGACAAGCGGATCAAGAGACATCGGAGTGGGCTTTGGACGGTGACCGGCAATGGCTGAGCGCTGAGGTTTTCATTCTACCGCGTGAAGACTTTAGCCTGGGAAGGAGTCCATTGCATTTGCAGCAGCAGAGCGGAATCAACTATCGACTCAAGAGTCAAGGGCATGTCTCAATAATATCGGAGCAAGATACATTCAACTTGTTGGCAATCAAACACTGCTTCGCAAAATACAAAATACCCGTTAGAATCGCTCAATGCTTAAACTTAAGGGCCCTGCTCACACATCGGGGTTATCAATCCTATCACCCGAGAGATCACCATATGGGCTGGAAGGTAATATGCATAACATATTTGCAAAATAATTTACAATTAAGTATATCTTTAGCACGATGTCCACCAAAAGTACCAATTCGAGATGACCACGGGAACAACGGCCTTGTGTGCAAATATAAAACAGGGCCGTTGAATAATAGTCAAACTGTTTGATTAATAAATACTCGGTCGTCCTTCTAAAGAACAGGATGTCATCGAGAGGATACAACCTTCGAAAGCGAAACAAAAACACGAGCACCTGGCTCTGAGACTTAAGGTTTGTTGCTGTCCGGCTTCGTATTCGAAATAGCGTGACCTTCTGTCGACACATTTGTGTCGGATGGCGGCGAAACATCAGGGTACAACTGTAAGATACAATCGTATCAAACATCGAGTTCGCAGAGGAACTGCTTACCTTCCCTGGATTAAACAAATTATGGGGATCTAGCGTCTGTTTGATCGTTCTCATGAGGGCTACTGTGCCTTCCCCAAGTTCAGTCAAGAGGTAGTTCCGTTTACCTGCACCAACGCCGTGTTCCCCAGTGCCTAGAGCGTGAACCAGATTATGAGCACTAACATTTGATTAACTGAATACAACACTCACATGTTCCTTCGAGTTGGATGGCTTTGCGATTAATCCTACTAACTGCTTCTCGTACAAGGGCCAGCTCCGCGTCGTCCGCATAGAGAACGAGAGCATGAAAGTTACCTTCATAGCACAGCATGAGTAAATACGTACACAAGTGTGGCAAAGAACGCACCATCGCCAACATGGCCAGCGATCGGTGCAACTAGACCAAGTTCCTCAAAGTCTTGCTTCGCAGCAGAGATAAGATCGGGTAGGCGTGACACTGGGACGCTAGACAAATACAGTTAATGAAACACGGGTGAGCAAATTGTCATAGGGCGCCGCCCGATCGACGATCCCAGGAATGTCATCAACCACTTACCATACGTCAGTCATCCATCCTTGACATCCCGGACGATATGCAAGGCACGCGAAAAGCGCATTTCTCCGGTCCTGCCAGATATCCTCGCTTTCCTGCTCGTTTGAAGCAAGTTGGTAGTCGGTCGCACCGTGTTTCGTAATCACGCTTTCCACGTAGCGTGACGTTTCCTGAATCACATTATCGGAGCCTTGGAACTTGAAAAAGAGTGTAACTTTCTCTGGCCACTTTCTCGCAGACGTCCCATATTGGTTTAGCGCCTTGATCGTAAGTTCATCGATGATCTCGACACATTCTGTGGGGAACAGATATGACCCGCTCGGCATTTAGCACCTCTGAAGGGCTTCTGACTTACGTAGTGCTGCGCCGTGGTTCAAGATGTCACACACTGCATTGGTTGCATGCCGAATATCAGAGAATTGCGCGACGGCAACGGTGCTCGGCAGAACGGGGGCTAGACGTAATGTAGCTGTAGCAGAATGACAAGCCACGAAGGAACATGAGTAAGTGTAACTAAATACACACGGACACACTTCGCCTACCTTCTGTGATAATTCCGAGGGTGCCTTCCGCACCTATGAACAACTTGGTGAGATCAAAACCCGCCGATGACTTGCGCGCGCGCTGTCGCGTCTTGATCACTTCGCCCGACGGAAGTACCACTGTCTTAAAAAACTCCTTCATAAGCCAAATGATATTTTTAGCATAATCGAAAAGCTCACTCACGATGTTAAGAATCCATTCGCCTCTTGCTGTTCCATATCTGACCGCATTGGCTTGGAAAAGTTTGTAAGATTTCTTTGGATTTCGCGAGGTTCTGACTCACTTCCAGAGCACCCAGTTGAGATCATGCCACCTATCGTGGCACCGCGACCAGGATCAAGCTAGCAGGTCCTTATGAATGCGGAAAAATGGTTTCATTTTACTTGATAAATACCGGAAAAAACAACGGAATGCCTGAGAATACGTCGGTCAGTTTTGTATTACCGGCTACACAACGACATACCCTTTTCCTTCAGCGTTTCATTTAGATCATTCCAGGTGACCCCAGCTTGGCAAACCACATCTGCATCCGACTCTGTGACCAAACATATCACATTAGCATCAACGGAGATTTAAAACCGCGTAGGATCACGCCCACCATTGATTGCTATGATCTTGTCAAGAGCAGATAGATCTACGCATATTGATCCAGAGGGTGGCTATAAAATGCAGTATGATTCAGTCAGAAAGAGGAATGATGACACTAAGGAATGTATTTTCGTACAGCAGACAAGTTCCCTTCCAAGCTAGTCCCTCCTGAGTATGGCACAATTGGAACTAGATACTTGTTAGATATTTTTACTACCTTGACAACATCTTCAGTGCTTCGAACGTGTACAACAATAGTGTGGGGTGATCCTGTGAAATTTCATGGTTTAGAGTTCGAGGAAAACTGAGGAGAAAACTGACCAACAAATTGAGAGTATGCAGACTGTGCGTAAGCATACAGTTCACTGGGGTCGGTAGATACAATAGAGGATTCTGGGAATTCCGCCTGCAAGTCTTCGAGGACCTTGGAAAAATCATTGGGTATCGGCTCAGAACCAGTCTGGAGAGCAGTAGGAACAGCCTCGACGATAGCGTTCGCTGTCGGGTTTGGAGAGCCAGTATCTCGAGAGCGTGCCAGGGCAAAGAGTGAAGCTCCACCAGCGATTACAGCAACTGCAACTGCAGATCCAAAGGACTTGGCGGTTACAGTTGTAGTAGTACTGTATAATCGGCGGGAAGGGGTCTTAATTGGTCGCGAGAAATGATGAGTATTGACACATCTTGGGCTTGCGGGGGAAAAGAATCGCAAGGAAGCCTTCCTCGCGCCAGCGGAAAGACCGAGAAAGACGAATCGTGTGACTGCAAAGGTCATAACTAGCACATGAGTCTGATACAAGGGGAGATGTGGAGAAAGCTTCGTATCCTCTTGTGCCGCATCAGCGGGACTTTAAGTGATTGATGGAGCGGCGGGTTGCCCATCGAAAAGAGACATGTTCGGTTTCACTTGACATTAATGACGGCATCACCTCACCGGCGTTAACGAGTACATCCAATTACCAATTTAGAAATCTCACTATAGTTGGTGCACGTCCACCGTTTCAGTCATGATCGCGTCTGAGACTCAGATTTCGCAGTTGCTAGTCATCCGGGTCAATCAGTGGCGCAAAAAGGAACGTGTCGCAGTGATAATTCATCCTAAATTGTCATGGTCGTCTTCCACTTATCCTAATGCCTCCGGGACTCCTCTCGACCAACATGTAGGCGTGTTGAGCTTGACTTGAGCCGACGGACTACATTAGCGGTATTTCCTAGATGAGTTCCTAACCTCTGCTATTAACCGCCCTGGTCACCACTCGGTAAAATCAACGCTTATGATCCAAGTCGGTTGAAAATGATCATATGCTTCGATGGCAGCGATGGAGTTATCAGATAATGTCCTGCTCAGCAACTGTAAGGAGCTGACACTCCAAAGACTCACTTGCCTAGTGAGGCTTATGCAGTTTGGGATTTCATCGTATCCTTTGTAACCACCCGGCGTTGATTCTCGACGGTAACGGCTTTCAACTTGATCACTGTTTGTGTGCTTACTTTCTATCAGTATCGGTGTCAGTCAGAGAACTACTGACAGCACTTTAGTTCATGCTGAGAACGTACTTCTGAACACATTTTGTAGCGATGCCCCTGGCCATCTATGCAACCACCATGACATTGTATTAGGGACGTATAACGTCCATCGCATCGCTGTGCACCACGCCACCACCGATCCAGCCAAACCGAAAGTGATGGTATTGAAATATACAGTTCTTTTCTGTGAGAAAAGTTACGATATCGTACGAAATGAATAGGACGTTGTCCACCGCGCGCGCGTCCACCATGTCATAAAATCCGCCGATTGCTTCATCATACAATGTTTCATACAATTTCATCTCAACTGACATGCCATACATGCCATCAGCCCGTCAAGAAACCGAGATTCACTGAGCCCAATATCTTCATTTGCTTAGACTCCAGGTGTTGCTGAATACGAATATATCAGCGGGACTGTGACAACCGCACCAGATATCACATACGCAGGCGGTGTTGTAAAACAATTTCAATAATTGTGTCGATCAACTCTGCCTTCTTCTGAAAGTATTTGGGCGACCCTGGTATCCGGTGAGAAAAGCCCGCTTCATATGTGCGAATGGCAGAGCTCAGAGCTTCCCTGACGGCAGCTGCATTGGGAGATGCCATGTACTGCTGAAGAGCAACACGAAAAGGGTAAACAGACTCCTGCCGCACAGGCGTAGAGTGTTGCTGGTCCAAAAGATAGAAAGTGGTTTCAGAGATAATAACAACAGCTTATGATCAGTAATCAGTAGATTGATTGCGATGTGGCATAGAATCTCACCAGAACCAAGCTGCATAATCTTCTCCAATGTTGACGACCCAGAGGGCTAGTGAACCTTTGGGATGAGAATCATGTAAACCAGCTATGATCAATGGGACATGCCGAAGATCCGAGTCGTAACGTGGACCACATCTCATCTTCTTCGGGACGGTAATGCTGATGAATTGTGATCAAATGGCAGAAATGGTTAAGGATGAATCTACTTGCATACTGTGATTATCAAGATATCAGTGCTCGAGCTCGATGGAGGATCAACACACTCACCGGCTGTCAAGGGATCAGCAATGTCTTCGGTCAGCGAGGCTCGAGCTTGACACAGGATCAACACACTCACGCCCTGTCAAGGGATCAGTGACGTCTTCGGTCAGCAAGGCTCGAGCTCGATACAGGATTAACACACTCACGTTCTGTCAAGGGATCAGCGACGTCTTCGGTCAGCGAGGCTGGAGCTCGACACAGGATCAACACACTCACATACTGTCAAGGGATCAGCGATGTCTAGCGAGGCTCGAGCTCGACACAGGATCAACTCACCAACTGTCAAGGGATCAGCGACGTCTTCGGTCAGCGAGGCTCGAGCTCAACACAGGACCAACACACTCACGTTCTGTCGAGGGATCAGCGATGTCTTCGGTCAGCGAGGCTCGAGCTCAACACAGGATCAACACACTCACGCCCTGTCAAGGGATCAGCGATGTCTTCGGTCAGCGAGGCTCGAGCTCAACACAGGATCAACATACTCACCCACTGTCAAGGGATCAGCGACGTCTTTGTTAAGCGAGGCTCGAGCTCGACACAGGATCAACACACTCACATTCTGTCAAGGGATCAGCGACATCTTCGGTCAGCGAGGCTCAAGACATATGATCAACACACTCACATCCTGTCAAGGGATCAGCGACGTCTTCGGTCAGCGAGGCTCGAGCTCAACACGGGATCAACACACTCACGTTCTGTCAAGGGATCAACGACGTCTTTGGTCAGCGAGGCTTGAGCTCGACACAGGATCAACACACTCACGTTCTGTCAAGGGATCAGCGACGTCTTCAGTCAGTGAGGCTCGAGATCAACACACTCACAAACTGTCAAGGGATCAGCGACGCCTTCGGTCAGCGAGGCTCGAGCTCGACACAGGATCAACACACTCACGTTCTGTCAAGGGATCAGCGACATCTTTGTTAAGCGAGGCTCGAGCTCGACACAGGATCAACACACTCACGTTCTGTCAAGGGATCAGCGACATCTTCGGTCAGCGAGGCTGGAGCTCGACACAGGATCAACACACTCACCAACTGTCAAGGGATCAGCGACATCTTCGGTCAGCGAGGCTCGAGCTCGATACAGGATCAACACACTCACGTTCTGTCAAGGGATCAGCGATGTCTTTGGTCAGCGAGGCTCGAGCTCGACACAGGATCAACACACTCACGCCCTGTCAAGGGATCAGCAATGTCTTTGGTCAGCGAGGCAGCCAGGCTCGAGCTCGACGCAGGATCAACACACTCACAATCTGTCAAGGGATCAGCAACGTCTTCGGTCAGCGAGGCTCGAGCTCGATACAGGATCAACACACTCACGTTCTGTCAAGGGATCAGCGACGTCTTTGGTCAGCGAGGCTCGAGCTCAACACAGGATCAACACACTCACAAACTGTCAAGGGATCAGCGACGCCTTCGGTCAGCGAGGCTCGAGCTCGACACAGGATCAACACACTCACGTTCTGTCAAGGGATCAGCGACATCTTCGGTCAGCGAGGCTCAAGCTCGACACAGGATCAACACACTCACACCCTGTCAAGGGATCAGCGACGTCTTCGGTCAGCAAGGCTCGAGCTCAACACAGGATCAACACACTCACAAACTGTCAAGGTATCAGCGACGTCTTCGGTCAGCGAGGCTCGAGCTCGACACAGGATCAACACACTCACATACTGTCAAGGGATCAGCAATGTCTTTGGTCAGCGAGGCTCGAGACATAAGATCAACACACTCACGTCCTGTCAAGGGATCAGCGACGTCTTCGGTCAGCGAGGCTCGAGCTCGACATAGGATCAACACACTCACAAACTGTCAAGCATCAGCGATGTCTTCGGTCAGCAAGGCTCAAGCTTGACACAGGATCAACACACTCACATCCTGTCAAGGTATCAGCAAAGCGTTATGTCAGCATGCTGGCAGAGATGATTTTAGTAATACCTAGTAGAAGTAAGCGTCAAATATAAATCAGGAGCTTTGAAAAATTCGTACATTCTCACTGAAGTATATGGAAACCATAGACCCAAGTCGTCTACAATATGATGGTCAGATGTCCTAGATATGCGGGACGAGATTGTCTTGGAGAAGTCAAGATGCCGTGCAAGTGTTCTCAATACATAGTTAGTTACTTCTCGCCACAGATCAGTGAGGTTTGAGGAGTTACTTTTTGACTGCATATTCCATGCACAGCTCCAAGCTGCTCCGCTGAGTTGAGACAAGTATCTGTTTGAGCGTATCATCATCCAGAGTTTCGGCCGTCCGCTTGATAAGTATCCTGCAGTCTGCATTGTCCTTGTCCATATCTAAATATCGGAAAGGAGATACAAGCCTGTGAATTGATTATCAACAGCTCGAGAATCAGTTGACTTACCAGGCAGGCATATGTGACATCTCGGAGGTTGTTTGCCATCGCAATTGTACAAAAGCTTTAGTTGTGGCCCATTGGCGAATGCTTCTTCAGCATGCCGCGAAGCCAGCGCTTGAGCATCTTTTCTCGATACTCCCTTACTTGTCAGCTCTGCAAATTCATCGTCGTACAGAGCGTCGAATTTAGTGAACAACACTATTACTGCAACTGAGGATCATGAATGAGTCGATGCTAGTACACAAACGGCAGATGCGAATGCTTACTGGTTCCAGTGTCGCACTGGGAGAAAAACTTGACTTCCGCTTGCGTGAAAGACCTACCATCCTCATCCATCGGAATGCAGTACCTATGCAAAAGATCTGAGATAGCGCACGCCAAAAAATTGACCAATTACCATATGACATGGATTCGATCACTCAAACGTCTCGCCTTAGAACGGCTTGCGATAAAAGCCTTCACCTTGTCGAATTCAAACTGTCCTCCTGCCTCAAATCCGCGTGAATCATGAAAGACAAATCCCAGGTTGCTTCGAAACACCATTTCATGCTCGATGTTGTGCACCCCGCGCTGAAAACTGGTCAAGTGATGTCACCAACAACAAAGAACACACCCTACCTCTCTGGATGCCATTAACACGGCGGGATCCATCTGATTTCCAAAGTCCATCGGTCAATCAGTGCTACTAGTAGTATGCTGGTATCATGGACCGCACCTTTTTACCGGCGCTGTCATATATTTCTGGGTTCTCGCGTGTATTACAAACCCTCTGCAGGATGGTGGTTTTTCCTGCATTCGCTCTTCCGATGATGAGGATTCGGAAGCGCTTGATTATCTGTCTTATCCTTGAAGCATCCATGATGGAGGAAGATAGTTAACAGTGTGTGAACTCTTTGAGCGCCCGAAACACTGAGTTATTATTATGTTGTTACGTTACGCGCTGTTCTTGTCAACATTTGGACTTCGGAAGGGTAGTGGAGCACTCATCACTCCTGAAGCTGTTAAGACGCGATGCCCTGCAGCCTGCAAGCTGTGCTGGGCCTATTGTAATTTGTAGCGACAAAGTACTAGTCGAACTTGATGCACTACTGCAGCGCCACACAAGACTGGAATGGCGCTGCGCCTTCAAATCATTACCTACATGCCCGACTCGGAAAAACACACTGAAGACTCGTCGCGAAATGGCCCCTAGAATCCAGCTTGGGCAGCAGCTCTCTCTGCCAAACTTCCTCTTGCTTCCCAGGGATGCTTGTGTTCGTCAGTAGTTTCGAACTGGCCTTCGTCGGGCATACCCCAACCTCCGCCACCGGGTGTCTCAATCAATAGGCGATCTCCTTTTCCCATGAACACCGTCGCTTTCCCTCCTATATTTATGCAGCGTGGTCCCATATCTTCCTCAGAGGTTTCCTCGGGTATATCACTGTCTTCGGCGCGGCGCTGCTTGATCCAAGTGTTGCGTCCCATCATGGCGGGCTCGCCACCTGCCATGCCGTATGGTGCACGTGTACGTCTCTGCCGTATATGTAAGTTTCACCGGAGGAAGGAAACACCAAAATAATATACCTCGCTTAGGATAGACACTTGCATCCCTTGCATAACCTCAAACTCTCGGATTACACCATCGCCGCCATTCCATTCACCTTTCCCTCCAGAGCCCGGTCTAAGACCGAAGCGGTGTACGAGAATGGGATAACGGCGTTCAAGAATTTCGACATCGCCAATGCGGGTGTTTGTGATATGAGTATGTACACCGGATGTGCCATGCCATCCTGGGCCGCTTCCTGATCCACCCGCGATGGTCTAAAGAACGCACGTCAATGTACATCGCCAAATATAATGAAACGTCAGACCTCATAATAACCCCATCCAGCAATGGCTATGCCATCCTTATCTTTACCGCCCGTACCAAAGGTCAAATTGCTGTGAAACATTCAGAACAAACCTATTTGAAAAGGAACAACGAACTTGGTGCACCCTTGACTAGCAGCACACGCATGAAAAGCCTTAAGGACTACATCTACAATGCGCTGCGAGGTCAATACATTTCCACCACACACAGCAGCGGTCCTGGATGGGGAAAGAAGGCATTTTTTGGGAATCTTGACTGCAGTAATTCATGTCAATACGATCGCTGGACTTTTGGTTTGTAACAAAGAACGTACTCTCGATGGGGACAAGACAGCCAGCGTTGAGCGGTATGTCAACATTCAGCATTGCACGCATGCAATAGATCACGGCGGAGTGTACCACTGAAATCGGGGCATTCAGGTTTCCCCTAACTTCGCATCCTGTACCCTCGAAATCTAGAACAGCAGATCCTTCTTCCTCGTTGATCTCTACTTTCAGCTGGATCTTTAAGCAATGTCATGATTCTCAGCGCCATGATTTGATGCGAATGGCAATCGGAACTCACTGGAGTTCCATCATCCAGATAGTCCACGGCACTGAGAAAATTAGTTCCCGAATTTTTGACGACGTCGCGTAGCAGACTTCGAACCGAGTTCTCGGCATTCTTCCTAATATGATACATGTATTCTTGAACAGTTTCGAGACTGTAGTCATCGACGACTGCAACCAAACATGATAGTCAGTGCACATAGGCAGGTAAATGGTCGATATGACACACTCGCTGTGATCAATTGAACTCCCTTGTGGTTTGCCGCAATTTGCTTCGAAATATGAGTGAGCAATGAATCTCTGGAAGGAGCACTTTTTGAGTGACCTACCGCCTTGATGTCACTTTCAACAGTCCTTGATGTTCCTGCAACCCGAACTCCCCGGATATTGTGCTGGTTTTTCGACCATATACTCGTACAACCCCTTCTTGTCAAACATGCCGTCGTTTACGATCTTCAGGCTCACGATTTCCGCACCCTCTTCGAATATATTCACAGACGTAGGCGGCATAGACCCAGGCAGTATGCCGCCGATATCAGCATGGTGTCCTCGGGAGGCAGTGAAGAATATGATCTCGTTGGTCCCTTTGTCGAAAGACTGGAGTGATGATAGTGATGTCCGGTAAATGGCTGCCTCTTGGTGAATATGTGTGCAACTGTGAAGGAAAGCTGCACGTACGATCCCCCAGCATGAGGAGAGTTGGTCATTAGCACATCACCATCTTTCAACTCCTTTCCATGAGTTTCATTTGGTACTTCACAGCGCTGGGATCAGATTAAGCCTGTGCTCCAAAGACGCTCACTGGCAACTGCTTTAAAGACTCACAAGCTCATAGATCCAAGATGAATCGGGATGAATGGCGCATTTGCGACCAAATCGCCGTCAGGAGCGAAGAGTGCACAGGAGAAGTCCAAGCGTTCCTTTATGTTAGTACTGATAGAGGTCTGTTGCAAAGACCTGCCCATTGCCTCTGCGACGCTCATAAAACGATTCGCGAAGAGTGTGAGCAGAATAGGGTCAGGACCGCTAGATGGTTTAGTGATAGCCATGATTGACTCGGGTGAATAATGCGAGACTTTGGAGGCTTGAAGGCTTAATCTCAGGCTGTTTCATGCAGCACTCTGGGGCGAATGATAATGAATCATGTGCATGATCACAAGACGATCGAAGTTCCGAACAAGCAAGCGCCGCGGACGAAGACTCCGTGCTGAGATAAGCAACATACGATATACAGCTTACGAGTGCGTTGACCCTCGAGATTACATGGGCACCTTTGATGCACTGTACTAGAAAAATACATCTCCAGAATATTCCCAGATAGTTACATATATGTTGACATAACTCTTACATTATCGCTCAAGCCAAAACTTCCCTCAAAACGTCCACGATCTTCTCCACTTCCTCGACGGTGTTATAGTGGACAAGTGAGATGCGGACGACTCCATCATTCACGTCTAGTTTTGGCCGTAGATTGTCAATGAGAGAATACGCGTAAAAGTGGCCGTATCGAATTCCGATCTGTGCAACATGCATAATTGAATACAATAAGGTCATTGAAAGTCGGACTTACCCCTCCCTTTTTGTCAAACGCTCCTACGATATCCTTGCTCTTGATCGCGTTCTGTCCGACGACAACAAAGCTGACAGTAGGAACTCTTGAGAGATTAATCTCGCTTGTTCCCCACAATGCGTACACCTCTGTCAACTTGTCTTGCAGTCCGTCAAAAAGCCGAGTAAAGGGGCCAGAAGGTTTTGCTCGTGGTCTGCGATTGCGTTGAAAGATGCTACAAGATCATCTTCTGGCGTTAACGACTTGAGATATGGCACGATTGCCGTTGCACCATATACTAGCTCGTAGCCTGGACCACCTGGTTGCAACTTATATGGCTTGTCGTCCACCTTCAGGAAATTATGTGCGAGGGACGTAAGAGATGTCTGCATAGCCGCCGGCCGCACGTAAACAGCAGCATTATGAGCCCCGTACACCTACAAAACAGTGTCAGATGCGAAATCGAAGAGAGTCGCGGGTATCGAAACCTTGTACAAAGAAAACACGCAGTAATCAACATCCCACTGTCGTACGTCCATTTTTCTATGTGGTGCATGTGCAACACAATCTACACACACTTCAACCTTTCTTGCGCCCTGTTCTTTTGCACGCTGGCGAAGTGCCTTCACCGCTTCTTCTACAGGAACCAACGATCCCAAGATATTGGAACATGCGGTAATGGCGGCCAGCCTGGTCCGCGAAGAAACCAGTTGCAACAGTTCTTTGACTTTGTATGCAACTGAGTAAGGGTTTTCCGCAGATACTGGCGTAGGTTGCCAGTATTTGACTACGGCATTGCGCCGCTCAGCCAGACGCTTCCAAGGACCGTTGTTTGCTAAGACGAGCGTTGAGTTGTTTTTTACAAACGAATACAGGAAAATAATGTCAGAAACCTTCATGTTCATAGGTAATGATAAATTCATCTCCGGGTTGAATATCATTTTCGAGCGCTCTAGCGATGTTCTCCAACATCATCGTCGAACTCGGTCCAAACACGATCTCGTCGATGGAAGCAGCATTGAACAACTCTGCAATGGCAAAAGGGCCCTCGTCCACGCGCTTGGTACTCAGCACGCTGACAAAATAGTCAGCTCCCAACTGTACGTTGGTGTTGGTCAGATAATCTACAATGCGATCGATCACTCCTTGAGCGGTCTGTGATCCTCCTGCATTATCGGCGTAGATATACCCTGATTCCAGGGACGGAAAGCAAGCGCGAACTTCGTCGATGTCGAGGGAAGCCATCTGGTCACTATTGCCAAGGAAGTGTAGTCCAAGAGAAAAGGATGACTGTTGTGAGACTGTGAGTATCGTTCAATGATAGTAACTCCATTATGTATTTATGTCCAATAAAACATCGCAGGTTCAACCTGATCGTGAGGCGTGGGGTACACATGAGCATTGATCTTAGTCGAACAAGTGTGGGCGGTCCGACGTCTGTGCAGTTGGAGGTGAACTACTCATGTGTGAGAAATTAAATCAGTCACCTGATGGAGTTTGAAAACCTAAATCTCCAGGTGCCGGCCCGTCAATTCTTAGCTGTCTGCCATTTCGCTGCACCGTTGACGACACATGACTCCGACTTCATCTCAAGTGTATGTCTTCAGTCTGACTCTCTCACGTTTTTCTCAATATGACCAGGTACCTTTCAGTAAGTAAATACATTGATTTTGAAGTGTTCTAAGAGATTTTTATCACCCAGTACCTGCTTTATTGATGGTCACGACAATCTTCATTTGAAGATTTGAAGTTGTGCTTCATTATTCTAAAGTGTACTGAAGCTCAGCCAAAATTTTGGTGAATAATTCCAGAATTCCTGCTTTTGTTGCAGATCCACGTCTTCTTTCTGGTTACTGCTCGTCCCAGCGCTTCTCATAATTTTTTTAGTCATCTCAAAGTTTGCCTTGCCATCCGACATATCCGTCCGCCCTCCCTCATCTTTTCGTACATCTCTGCACCCTCTTTGAATCTTCTTGCAGTGAAGTAAGGTTGGTCAAACTACCAGCTTCTTTGGATACAACGGCTGGCTGCAATTGCCGCGCCAAGTCATGGTGCGTGGCTTCCTTTCTGTTTGCTTTGCTCTCCGAAGAAATATGGGTCAGTCATTGGTATTGGTATGTACATACCTTTGCTTGTTTCATCGCTAATATCCTTATTTGCAGACTTTCAAACAACTCATTTGTTGTTCGTGTGTTGGCATTCGCACTAATTTGTGGTCCATTAGGACAGCACCTCTGAACGACCTCTGAATGCACTCACTGACCGTTTTCAGAGCGCACCATGATTCTCACAAAGGAATCTGTCTTAGCACTGCAGGTCCATAATGTTGGCCCAGTAAATATCTCCTTTTACACCCTGTTAGTTTCCTGTATCACGGAAAAATTGAAATAATCATTGCATGAGATCACATACAGGGTCCTGAGAATTTTTTAGACTGGTACATGCAAATTTAGCACCACAACAGTAATCCACGCGTCGCGATATTGTTGCGCAAGGTTTTGAGCTTTGGACTGATCAGCATGCTAAAAACAAAGGTTTGTGGTGCTATTCCCTCGAATTTATTTCATTTCATTTATTTAATTTCTGAGCGTACTGGCACGTGACAAGTTCGTTTGCATTGCAAAGACGTTCTAAGTTGGCGGCGAGTTTGCATTGTGCAACCATCTCCTGCCTGGGTAAGTACATAGTACCTACCAGATCCTACAAGTGCATACAAACCCATTTTATGACCACGAAGTCTGAAAATGACTTCTTTGGGTTCTCTGACGGAATTTGTTGCCTCTCAGGATGAACTTGTCCGAGAAGCAGCTTTGACTCTTCCCCACGAATTCTCTCGCTGCACGTACTCCCTGGGTCCAATCAGGCAAGCCGTATACCTTTGCCTTACTTGTCAGTTGCCCCGTGGCCTGTGTTCTTCGTGCTCCATCGCGTGCCACACGGATCACGAGCAAATAGAATTATTCCCCAAGCGCAATTTCCGATGTGATTGCCCAACGACTGCTATCCCACACGGGTGTACTTTGCACCGTAGTCTAGAGGAGGAAAATAGGGAAAATTCATATGGCCAGAATTTTAGGGGCATTTTTTGTCGATGTGGCCGACCATACGATCCGAAATGCGAAAGGGAAACAATGATCCAGTGTCTCGCATGCGAGGTGCGTGGGCGTGCATTAAAGCTATGTCGGTTGTCATTGATACACCTCGTCTGCAAAGGACTGGTTCCACGAGTCGTGTCTACACTTGCGGACACGACCATCCTCGCGGGAACCGTCTCCCGTCCCTGAAACAGAAACCCCAGACCATGGTAATGACACCGAAGACAACCAGTCTGAAGCCTCCTCTTCAGGGCTGCCTCCGCCGCTCGTATCTGCTGAGGACTATGATGCATTCGTCTGCTCCTCTTGCGTTCGATCGATTAATACCCTTCGCCGGTATGCTGGTACACAAGGTGTCATAATGGTGGTTCGTGACACAGAAGATAGCCCATGGAGGAAACTTGGGTGTAACCCTTTATGCGCAGATCCACCGACAAACACGGAAGATGATCTACTGGATATAGATGATTCTTTGACAGCCCCTGGGCAAAAACGAAGCCGGTCGCATTCCTTTCACTCAGAGGAACCAGAGCGGAAAAGACAACACATTTCACCAGAGCCATCCTCGCCTTGTCTTGCCCCAGCACCAAATCCGATTGCACAAGCCATATTTCAGAGTTCACAGCAACCGTCAGATACAGAAGTACCCCTGACTGAGGGTGATGTTTTCTTGACTGAAGGTTGGCGCGAACGGTGGTGCCGTTGCAGTCGTGTGAGCTTCTCATACCCACGCTTTCTTACGTTTCCGTTCATCGGCGAATTCTAGTGTTTTCCATCTCTCAGCGATCATCCGTATCTCCTGGAGGAAGAAGAAACTTACGAGCCCCCGGAAGATCCTGATTCTGGTACATACTTCGTTCTTATCTGAAGCAACTGCATACTAACACGAATATTCAATGTCAGCTCTTTCTTTGGAGGAACTCGGTATGCGCGCATTGGAGCGTCTTCCCCGCGATAGGGCGATTGACGGGATCCGAGCTTTCAATGATATGCGGTTGGTGGTTTCATCAGATGTCTGACGAATCTTTGATTACGCATTTTCACAGGGATGACTTACTAGCATATCTCCGGCCGTTCGCGCAGGAAGGCAGAATAGTTGGCGAAGCTGACGTCAGGCAGTTCTTTGAAACTTTGCACGAAAGCAAGCACGGTTCTTGATTGTGTTTGCAGTTGTAGCATTTGTGTAATATGAGGTATTTCTTTGTTTTTCCCATGACGTCGAGACCCTCAGCTATAACAGTTTTGTATTACGCCTGAGTTGGCTGAAGAGTGATTGTATCCTGCGCCGTAACACTATGCACACAGGATCTGTCTGACAACGCTGGTTCGCTCGGTCCATATAGATAATCTTCACAATCACTCCGCTATCGATGTCCACCGGACTTGATCGCACGCGTTAGACCGCACGTCACATATAATTAATGAATGACTACCTGCCATTATGTCCGACCTCGCCGCGCCCGCCAGCTTGGGCCTCAAAAATCATCGACCATCGGACCCGAGCAGGACGATCGAACCTCAGAGTTGCCCATACTTCAAGTGATTCGACGCAATTTAGTTTTGTTCTTCTAACACCTTCATCTTCGATTTTTCTCGTACGATAGGAAAACAGAAGTCGGGACTATAGACGGGAATGAGTACCAGCCAACCTATCAGCTCAATCATCAAGCCGCAACACGCTGGGCAATAGAGTTGAGCCAAAACCATCTCAAAAGTTTCTGTGTCAGCGAACCCGAATCTAGCTCCATTGCGCCCCACATTCTGGTCAGGTCAGGCACGTTCTCACAAACGCCTGGATGCAAGTATACGCTATAACACAACCTTATTACCCACAATGTAATCATACCCCGGCGGTCATGTGTGCGACGGTAATCTGAGTGTGCCGCGAGAAATATTAAGCGTGCGTGACAGCATAACCTTGTGAACGACATCTTTGGAACAAGACTGGGTCAGATCTTACATAAATAGATAGCATAGCATATGTACTTTCCCTTGGTGGTTCTTTCGAGGATATACGTTTGACTAATTCACTCGTGCCTATTGGATCTTCTGGCCGTAAGGGATCTTCGAGCTTGCGTTTCGATTGGAGGGGCCCTCCGGTGCTCCAATAAGAACCCAGCTCTAAAGATCATCCATACGCAAGTAAATATGGCGAGATATTGGGGCTCACACAATGCGAAATGTCTTATCTACGTGGGGTTTGGCGGAATGAATGTGCGATGCAGGGTTTGGCTTGCACATTCATTGGAAGATAATCCTTTCTCGGAATAAAATTTCAATTGCCAATTCATAGCAACGTACATATATATGAAAGAAATACAAGGACAGGAAAACGTGCAAGTCATTAAGTACATACGGTCCGCAGAAGCTCGTGGTACATCAATTACAACGAACATACAAAAAAAAATAAAAAAAATCTCAGTAGTAGCTAGTTGATATTACACTATGTATGGCCATCACCGATATCCGAGGGAGTACGCGCGCTGAGATGAATCTCCGGGACTTGCAAAAATAGCGTACGGACAACTTCCAGAAGCCTCGAGGGTTCTCTGAGAACGTCAGTAAAAGAACGATCTCGACTGTAAGAGAAGGAAACGATGTTAACTGCGGAGTTTAGAGCGACCATGATTAACACTCACGATACTAGTTGAACAGCCTATAGCATGGCCTGTACGGGTACCTGATCATAAATGGGAATAGCGTGACCAGAGAAAACGGGCATTTCATCGTGGTACTCCTTCCACGCCTCATCAGATACGATAGGCGCAGAGACATACTCCTCAATGGCCAGATTGTTGAGGTGAGTATCGAGATGGGGAAGGGTTGCTGTAATGGCCTCATCTTCACGAATGCGTTGCAGAATTCGGGTTAAGCCAGCATTCTCCGAATACCATGCTGGATCGCGGCGGATGACGGCACATTCATACACATCAAGAATTGGCTTCGGAAGACCAGATTTCAAACCGGCGGAATAAGCAAGCGCGTGACCCATGGCTTCAACCGCAAGCTCCGCCTGAGGAAGAATGAGAGAGTTGAAGGACTCGCTACGGTGTCCGCCGCGCAAGCTGTTAAGAAGGCTGATATTCTCTTCCAATAGAGAGGTTGCGTGCCGAGCAAGAAGTGACTCGCTTGGGTCTGGAAGAGGTATCTTGTACCGCTGAAGGAGGAGCTCGGAGAATAGGCGGATGCATAAAGTGAGAATATCGCCCTCGGCGATGATCACACCTTTGCCGTCATTCTGAATGAATACGATATGTCAATCGAGCATCGTTGGATGAAAATGCGTACGAACCTCAATACGAGCCATATAATTGTGCTCAAAGGTGCCTTGTGCACCGCATCTTTCAGCAACCTCTGGCACGCAGCGCTGGAAGTGTCGACAAACAGTGGTTTTGACGATGACCGCGATACCATGTCTGACACGATGGTCCAGCGATTTGTCAGCGCTATTCTTCGCTACCATTGGAAACCAATTGCTCATAACGAGGCCAACAGCCGTTGCGTGGGCAATAGGCCATTGTTGAGTCCTGAATGTGATTATGGGTATGGGATTAGCCCCTTTCCCCACGAGGGACCGATGCATAGAATAGCGACCGGCAATGAACGCAGCTGCCTTTATGGAAGATATCCAGGGTGCTGTAACAGCTAGGGTTCCGAGAGGGATGCGCCATACCTCATCCCACCACTTCTCTAGAGGCGAGGCTGGCAGGGAATGGTCATAGATGTTTGATGACACAAGTGCACTGAATGGAACATGGACGTGATTGAAACGCGTTATAGAGAAATCGAGAGGGCAAGTTCCAGGACGAGCACCGAGTCTGATCGACTCGACACCTTCGAACATTTCGTGCTCGTTGCAGACGGGCACAATGAAGAATCGAGGGCCACGGTCTTCGCCGTCGACTATAAGCCTGGCCATAACCAAAGCGACCTTCGAAATACCAAAGGATGGGGTGGAAGCAGGCATGAATCTATATACAATTCATCAGATGTTTGCTCATCCTTGATAATAGGTACGTACTTGCATGCCTCTTCGCGAGGTGTATTAATAATGAAGCCATCAGGGGTCTTCGTAGCTGTTGTCTCGATGTTGAATGCATCTAGACCGTGACCCCTCTCTGTGAGGAGATAGATACCAACGGTGTCGAAACGCAACAGACGGTTGACCAGAGGGCGGAGGTCTGGCCGTTTGTGAAGATGCCGGGAAAGTGTTCCGATGGTGAGACCGACATGAGCCGCCAGTATAGTAAACATGGCAGTATCCAATGACATGATAGGGTCTGTCATCATGGCCCAATACTTTGGAGAACACACTTGAACATCAAAAGCCGACAGATCTAGATTCAAGGGAGATGCTTCTGTGTCATGTGTTTGAGGAGCAAGGGGTCAACGTACTGTAGGTGTGCATGAGAAGTCTTGCCCGCTGGTAGGACAGGGACACACGGTCATCAGTGGGAAGAAACTCGACCCGAGTAGTGAAGAGGGGATGGTGAGGGAGATGATCTGCCATGTTCGACGAAGCTGACGGGGAGGGCGCAATGACTTATTCCGACTATCTTGCCGGCTTTTTATAGAGTTTGTCGATCATATCATCAGGTCAGGTTGGGTGAGTACTAACCAATTCGAAACATGATCTCTGCGCTCTGAAAAACGTGGACCCAAGTAAACCATTCTGTCAAATGATATCAATATCATCACAGCCGAACTACCGGATTGAGAATCTGGGGATAACATCGTAGGAAATTAACATCTTTGTATATGACATGAGGTCAGAAAGAGAGCTTAAGTGTCAGGAACCAAGATACACACGGATTTAGGCCATGAGTGCAGATTCTTCCGATAGGAAGCAATTTGGCCGATGTTTGGAAATATGTGGCATGAGTCGTTACAGTTTTCGAGGACATAATTGTGTAGCTGCCAAGTTCAGCCGCTAATGAAAAGAGTAAGGTGAACAAGATGTTGATGAAGTTGGAGTGAGAGAGATATCCGATGCTAGTACCCACACAAGGATGAAATGGAATCATGATTATGATTCTCTGGGAACAACCTTGCGTAACTGAGGGACAGGAAGTACAACACTAGAACATTTTGAGTGAGCTTGCGAATCTGAGGCATTTGCTGGGTGGACATTGATTTTACCAACGCTTGCGGATAAAGGTTACCGTGAAGTGACTGACAGCAAATGGTCCTGGTGTCAAAAACCACACGGGTGATAAAAACATATCCGTTTGGAAAGTATTATCTAATCAGATGTTCTCTTCATCTCGCTTATTTTTCCCGGTAAAACTGTCACAGAAGAGGCGTTAACGCCATATGTCGCATCAACACTACCTGAGACTAATGTATCACTTCAAACATATCATCTTCTCGAGGTTATGTGCTAGTCTGAAATCGGCATTTACCAAACTAGCCTTCGGTCACACACCACTTATTCGGCGTCTTCCCAGCGAACTGAAGATGCACGGAAGGTAGCTCGAGCATTTCGGTCACAGATCGGGACTATGTTTTTTCGGCTCTCCTGCTTGCGGCTGAGCGTCACATGACGACAAACATCTTGTTTTGGTTAAGCGCTAATTCTCACGCACCACACAGTCTAGTTGGTCAGAAAGTCGGGATGCCCTGAACCAAGCTGGACTCGGAACTCTGCTAAACTTCAAGATCTGGTGTTCTCCCACTGCCCGGTGAAATTTTTTTGAAGGGTTTTCTCGATGATGGCATATCTAAAATTTATACTTTGTGACCTGGGCCTCAGCCACAACCGCAAGTAGCCGCCGCATGCGACGCAATTTGAGATGATTTGCGAGATGCGGCGCGATGGCGGCCCAGAAGAATCATGCGTTGATGGCGCAGTCCGGCCTCCGGAAGTTGCTTACCTGGGATATATTTACCGCAAGTTCTCGAGGACTCGACGAAAAGATTAAAATAATAATGAAATCCAGATAAATTTATAGAAAAGTTGGTCTCGATCTCATCTTACTAAGCGCCCATTCTCCTTATACTCCCATGGCGGCGACAAACTTCAGGGAACGTGCTATTACGTAATATATCGGGGCACCGTGTCGCGTTGATCGTTGTGAATCTCAAGATTTCAAGAATTCCGTCTTGACAATCTATATACACTTAATCAGATCTGGCCATGGGCATCGTGTCAACTCAAGTATGACCGAAGAGAAGCTCTTTTACGATGTGAATCAACATCCTAAAGAACTCACTCACCCTTAGCAGTTCAGTTTCATCCCCTCCCAACCATGTCTCCAGTTCCAGATGGCGGATTGTCTTTGAACGTTGCTTTGAGCAAGTCCCTGGTGCTCACAAAGAGCGAGAATTCTAGTGCTGATGCTGAACTTACTGCTCATGTCGAAAAGCCCCCACTTCTACCTTCGTTCCCCGAAGGTGGGCTGCAAGCATGGCTAACAGTACTTGGTGGGTATGTGCCAAGCTTAGTCCATATGACACTGTAGGACCATCTTCTCACACCGTGTTCAATCAGGTCCATGATCCTTTTTTGCACTTTCGGCACAGTGCAGTCATTTGGCGTATACCAGGCATACTACTCTGTAAGCATTTCTCCCAGTCTCCACGCAGTTCACCACTTACCGTCTTCAGTCGCACTACCTTTCACAATATGCCGCGAGTGATATTAGCTGGATTGGCTCCCTGCAGACCTTCTTACTATTTGCCGGAGGTTTACCCGCCGGAAAGCTGTTTGATGAAGGGTTAGATTATTCGTTTTTCTGTCCTCATCTGATATCTAAGCACTCCCTCTGAACAGGTACTTCCACCACTGCATAGGAGCGGGGTCGCTCATTTACCTGTTCTCGTAAGTTCTCATGCACCATCCTCGAGACCTCCATATCGACCAAACTTTAGCATATTCATGCTATCGCTCGCTAAACCACATCAATACTATCAAATATTTTTGGCGCAAGGTATCGGAATGGGCATCGGAATGGGTCTTCTTTTCCTTCCCGCAATATCTGTCACATCTCATTACTTCCGCCGGCGACGTGCTGCCGCGATGGGTGTAGTCTTGGCTGGCAAGTCCTTAACCTATTTCATTCGCATTGCGCCGACCTCCTTACAGGCTCGTCGCTCGGTGCCGTTATCTACTCCATCATGCTTAATAATTTGTTCAACGGCAGTGCTGGGTTTGGGTGGGGTGTGAGGTGTGCAATGCAACATGTAAATGAAAATGACGTTAACTGGTTACCATAGGGCAGCTGCTTTCATCGATCTGGGGCTCCTTGGAGCCGCAAATTTGCTCATGAAAACTCGTTTACCGAGTCGGAGGGAGCGTCCGGGTGCAAAACCAGTTGATGTCAAAGCAATACTGTCCGACCTCGGATACTGGTTGTGTGTCATTGGGTCTGTATTGTTGAAACTTTATCAAGTCAAGAGCTGACATCTTCAATTAGTGCCACCTTGACATTCTGGGGCCTGTTTGTTCCATGTAAGTCGTAGGAAGTATTTTTTTTACTGCATGGCTCACTGCATTATTAGTCTTCTACCTCCAAGTCTTTTCAGAGAAACACGGACTTTCGAAGAACATTGGGTTTTACGCGGTAAAGCGTTAAGCAATGAAACTGAATAAACTACTAAGCCACGTTTAGATCCCAATTATGAACGCTTCTTCACTATTCGGAAGGACGATTCCGAACTTTTTGGGCGACGTCATTGGGCCATTTAACGGTATGTAGAATCATCTATTGGGGCCACGCTGCGATGAGCTCACAACCGATGTGTGCAGTGATGATCCCATGCACTGTCATATCCGGAGGGCTACTGTTTCTCATGTTCGCAGCCACAAACCTTGGTGGTACCATTGCCTTTGGTATCTTGTACGGTTTCTTCTCTGGTGGTTGTGCGTCACATTCATTACCATGTTCTTGGAAGTCAATTGACTTTGCCTCCGCAGTCATATCCCTCATCACTCCCGCTGCTGCATCATTTTCGAGAGACCTCAATGAAATTGGGCAAGTATTAGTGCCGCTTTTATGAGACCTTAGTCCTGACAGATCCATGATACATAGCACTCGCATAGGCATAACTTCCTTCGTCATTGCCTTTGCACTCCTCACAGGTAATCCCATCGCCGGTGCACTGGTGCAAGTCAACGGCTCTTACATCTGGTACCGACCACTTGTATTTGCTTCTGTAAGCTTCCATTGTCGGAAGTCCCTTGATCAAGCCGCTGAAATTCCATTATCCATTTAAGGTCGTTGTACTGGCAGGTGCCGCCTGTCTAACTGCTGCTCGATCCATTCTGTCCGAGCGCAAGAACACCAACAGATTATGATAACGATTCACACGCGAGCTCCCACGACACACGTCCGGCGATTCATTGTACAACATTCGAGAACGATTTTGACGACCAGACCACCTGACCTGTACCATACGCGCCGCCAAGACCGGGGTGGCAATGACTTTAACGAGCCTTCTCAAGTTCTTGTCTATAATTTCCACGGCCGTAATCATATCCGTTAAGAAGTAGATAGAAGGGTGATACTACAGGGTTAGCAAATTTCATTGTCCCGTTATCACATCTTGTCCTTCTCATCTTCATGTATATCGAGCCTTTTAATTCCATGCCCCGTCAGCGTAGTCTCCAATATGCTCACTCAGAGAACGTTATACCTGATCGCGATTACGTTCGAAGCGAAATACATGATAATCACATTATCTGACCGTGCAGGGTCAGATATGAATGCAGGATCACACGTCATGTTGAGTGTCCCGGTGGCTCCCAGCTGCAAACGTTTATTTAGTTCCGCGGAGAACCGTGTCCCATGTCTCATCAGGGGCTAGATGCTGTAAACTCATATGACTTCATCTGAGCCCATGACCAGCATGTCGGGTGGTCGTGGGGCTTCATTCAAAGTGCATGGGCGAAGTGTCTAATTTAGCAATGGGAACATTCTAGAACCATGATGCAGCGTGCTAACTCAATTGTGGATATGTTGATGGGGTGCCATACTCCGAGGAGCGAATCATGTAATCTATAATTGAGAGAATTCGAGGAGTTCATGACGTCGGTCGTTCTGTGAAATCATGTGAAGTCCCTATGGCGGTCATTATAGCAACGCAGTGATACTTCGAGGGGTAGCTGGACTGGATTAAGCGACATATAAATAAACGACTCGGAAACCTGCGCATGATATGGTTCCGCTCTTCCTTTAGACTGCTAGTTTAGCGGAAAACGCTTAGGGTATTCGCAAAACCGATGCCGATGGCGAGTAGGTCGAGACAGGAACACACTTGCGGTCATGATCCCGGCACTAATGTAGGGTCCGTAATCTGATCGAGACAACCTTTTCTGGTGATCGGTTCAGAGTCTGTAAAGGTGACATTCGGGTGACTGTTCGCCAAGAACACTAACCTTTGTGAAGCTAGAACAGGTCCGTCGACGCCACAAAGCTCCACCAAACAATAAGCTGAGGATTGGGTTAGATTCGGGCCATTCCTTGTTTTCAAAAGTGACTATGTACGTGGCGTGCGTGTGTCATCGGAACGGAGGAATGGAATGATTAGTTCGACGCTACCAGAACGCTTGTCTCCTGCTTTTCGGAGTCTGCGATCGGGAACGAAATCGAGCAGGAGATTAAAACCTGTGAAAAACAAAAAGGAATAGTGCAAGATGTCAATATACACGGGCAAATCTTTTACCCACTAAAACTTCTGTTCTTGCAGAAGCTTGCTGTGCTTCAAGTATGCAAAACCATTGAAATGAAGACTTAACTTGCGGATATTACGGACGCTTACGACTTTAGTAGCGCAATCATGAGATTCGATTTGACTTTTTTTCGTGCCGAATATTGACAAGTCCACGTCGTAGGTCGATGTGGATGGTGGGACGATGAATAGCAGAGGCCGGCTCGGAACAATCTTGTCAGACAACAAACTCACCAATGAAAATGAACCATGAGATACTAGTCTTCCTTGGCCTACTATGTCACAGGATTGAAGAGCTGAACGTGCATCGTGTCTGACAGTTTTCCCAAGTCGGAACCCAAAGTACACACTTCAAGTTAGCAACTAAACGAGACCTCGTGCGCCAAGATACCGGGAAAATTACATACATTCATGTGCCATCTGAGCGTAGTGACATGCATCATGCAACATGTCCATCACTTTCACAACATTCTAGGTCGGCCTAAGCGTGTATTTTGGTCCAAAGACGGCCCTAGACTCTAGATTGACTCGCAAGATTCCGTGAATAAAGCAAGCAGTTAATTGTAGAAGGATGGTGACCTCCAGGCCAGGCTAGTCGCAATTAGTTGAACGTTCCTGCCTAGCCGCCATATTACGGGAAGTCGCCATCATGATGCAATGTATGCGGTAAGAGGGTAGATTCCCACACACTCCGCGTCGCTGCCGATCGATCCTTCCATTGTGATGCCTTTGACTCTCAAAATGTTTTCCTCGATATTTATCTTACACCACACCACAGCCATCTGAACTTTAGACACAAACGTGGCGCTCGTAGTGTGCACAGTAGATCTGCAGAATTGCATGCGATCAGCTTGTGATTGTGACAGAGTTCACCAAATTAGTTTGGCCGATTGCGCGCCTCGAGCGTCGACACCATCGTTTTAGCATAGCCCTCTATTCGATGGCAGCCTCTTGCTGCGGATTTTTGGCGTATAGTTTGATGAGTTTTGGACAATGCGACAGTGGAGATGTGGCACATTTCCGAGTCGCAATGTAATTAGACACAGCTAAATTATCTCAAAGAACGTTACGATGTCTTAGCAGTATCACGAGAGCCTCAGTTCATAGATAAATATTGGCCTGAGAGGGCTGTGTATCAGTGGAGCAGAAGAAAACCCTGCGCTATATCTGCCCCAGGACTTACTTAGGACCTGTATCGCGTCGGGGTAGTACCTTGCCCTGAAATGATAATCATCACACTAACACCAAGGTCCGATGATGATGGGAATGCCAAGAATATGACGGAATACTGACATGCTTGGACGCGTCAGCGCTGTAGCTTGTTTGAGTCATTGTTGCCGTTCGCATTGGTGCGCTGGTAGAAGGTGTGCGACGCTGATATATTCGCGTCGGTGATTCCAGACAACTTTACAGAATCTGGATGAACACAAAAGCTCCTGAAGCCCCTCTATAATAAGGTGACCCTGACCGTCCAGATAACGCGAGTGGTGTTTGAAATTAGAGATTTATTAGTATTACCAGCCTTGTAAGATACAGGACCACTTGCCTTCCGTGTGCCAGAACCAGTGTGAATAATCCGAATTCATTGAACCGCTGAGTGTTTACGATGAACCAGCTCAAGCCTGAGCACATAACCATCTTGTGTGATTGTCATGGTGGTGTTCACGGTCCCTCCGAATGCCGACGACAAGTCACAGAACTCCATTCGGCGGCACCGGAATGTTCCTCAATTGCATGAACGACCATCTTCCTTCTATCAAGGGTGAACGGGTGAACACTGGAAATAGGAATTTTGAATATGATTTTCCAGATTGCCAAATAAGGCCTCAGGGTTTATGATCGACTTTGCTAAGACTAGACATGGTCCACCCAGCACGAGATAACAGAAGACATCATGATCGGCATAACCATACATGCCAAGTGGTCTCAAGACCACCATAACCGTAAGCATTGTTAAGGAACGCTTCCTAAGAAGAACGGAGATCTCATGCAACATCATGAAAAGTCTCATATGGATGAGAGGCATAGGTCGGACCTATGCGGCGCGACACAACCATCAAGCTGAGTACACGTTGTGGTCTCAGTTGGTGGTCAGTAATTCCACGCTATCCGAATGGCACCTTGAGTAGATACAGAATACAGACCCAAAGACCAAGGTTCGAATGTTCAGGCTGAAACAATGTGTACGTTCAGTATTTCCGAGTCAAACTAACTTTAGATTACCCTCATGAACGCAACATCGTATAACTCAACCTTCCCTCTGTACGCGATCTGCGTCCTGCGTTCGGGTGATTTTTCCAATCTGATTACTGCAGACTGGCTTACAATGCAAGTTTAATTATCGGCAGTGACATGGACTGCTTCAGGGTATCCAGTGTAAAAAATATCCATATAACCGCAGCGTGACAGACGCATCAACATATTCCACTGGTCAGAAACATAACATGAACACACCATTTGTAGAAGATGCGGAGGGAAGATCAGGATTTGATAGAAACGAGGATATGCTCGATATGGAAGAAGAAGTCGCAAAGAAAATGGATGAACTGGCCAATGTGCGGGTCTGGTGATCGCCGCCATTGAGTGTAATGCCCGTTGACAGATCTTCTGTCTTTACATCAGTCCGATATCGTGTGACTGCCATGCAAATCACTGAGTCGGCTCGTACTTGGCTCCTGACTTGAAGGAAATGCTTCTAGTAAATCTTTGACGGACTGCTAGAATCTTTGGGGCGGGGTGTCAATTTCTGGACTGGGAAACTCATTCCCTAGTTTTGCGGACGAGGGTATAAAGTCTACGATTAGCAACAAAATCAACCAGGAGATCTGAATCTGTGAAAAAAGGATAGTGTAAACCGCGTGCACAGCCAAATCCACCGAGTACGCAAATTTCTGTTCTTACAAGATATATGCTTCACTGCTCTTTTTGACATGTTCGCCGTATATTGACAAGCCTCAATGGAGAGGGAAGAGCGATTATGTCAGAAATCAGACTCACCAATTAAACCCGAGGTCTGAATGGCTGAATGGTCTGACAGCCGGAACACAGGCCGCCCAACGTTTAGGGGACACGCTCAGTAACCACAATGAGGCCTGCGCGCATCAAGATGACGGGACGTTTACATACGGCTATCTGAGCGCAGCAGCATTCACTAGCGTAGATTAATCTTCCATAGACAGACCAATGAAGGTGGTCGTGCGCACGGCCGCTGCCCGCTACCCGCTGCCGCCAGTTTGAACATGAAGTCCAGATTCTCGATTTGTGAAACTTTATGTGTGAAGCAAGTAATTGATCATACAAGGACAATGTCTGGCCACAAGCCTGAGGTTGACCATGAGACGGCGAGTGATTGAGTACAGCAAAGCAGCTGTGTCGTGCGCACTGCGTACAGCCTGCCGCAGCCTTGCCAAGGCAGCCGTCACTGGAGGCCGCTAGATTCCCACGTTGCACCAAACACGGTTTGTATTGTGACGGCCAGGTCTTAGGCCAATTTCTAATTTCTACATTTACTTTGATCTGCCTGAGATGCCCTCTCAATCAGCACTCTCAGCAGACGAAAAGTCTAAAGTAAAATCCACTTTAGACGATTCCACGCAAAAGATACTCACCGCTACCGCTGCTCGTATCTACTTTGCACATCCGCAGCCAAACAAGTGGTCGTATGGTGGCTTACAAGGTGCACTCGTTTTCCTGCGAGATAACTCCAAAGATGCCTTCATGTTGAGACTGGTTGATTTAACGGGGACCAGAGGTGTCATATGGGAACACGAACTATATGAGGCGTTCGAGTATTACCAGGACAGGGCGTTCTTCCATTCGTTCGCGGGCGATGTAAGTGTGCATTTGCGGTTCGAAGAAAATTACTCACTTCTACCCAAGAAATGCATGGTTGGCTTTGTCTTTGCTGACGAGAAAGATGCAAAAACGTTCTACAAGAAAGTAACCAACCGTAAAGCAAATAAAGGTACGGTGGTTTAGAAGCTCTAGTTGACCACATTTGACCTCTACTTCAGTTCAATCTTCCTCCTCAGAGAAGAAGTCTTCCAAGGGTGGTAGAATAAATAAGTCTATGATTTCAGGTCCAACCGCTGGTTCCTTTGTGCATGTTGCACACATGGGCTTCGATCATGAGAAGGGTTATAACTCCAGTAACGTCGACCCCTCATGGATCACCATTCTGAAAGAACTGGAGGGTTCAGGCGTTAGTCGCGAGGTCATCAACCAGGATATGGATTTCATAAAAGACTTTATCCGTGATGCACAGAATACACCCCAGCCTGCTATCAAGAAGAAGCCGCCGCCGCCGCCGCCCTTACCTGCGCCTAGAAATAGGGGGCACACTCAGCAAAATAGTGTTGCAACATCAGTCAATGGCGATTCTGCACCTGCTCCTCATGCTCCTCCACCTCCAATACGTCCAGTTTCCGCTGCGCCGCCTCTACCCCCTGCTGCAGCGCCTTCGTCATCGCGTCCCACTTGGGCTGCTCCACCACCGCCGCCACAACCACCACAACGGGCCCCTCCTGCACCTGCGCCTCAACCAGTAAGATCTTCAGGACCACCCCCACCGCCAGTTCGTCCTGCGAGTGCTGCTCTCCCGCCTCCGCCTCCTGTGCGACCATCAGTTAGTGCTCCTCCCCCACGACCACCAATCAGTACTCCTCCTCCACGACCACCAGTCAGTGCTCCTCCTCCACGACCACCAGTCAATAATTCGCCATCCCCTCCACCCTTATATGAGGATTCTCCTCCTCCTCCGCCTCCGCCTCCACCACCTCCGCCCCCACCGCCACCTTCATCCGGACATGCTCCTCCTCCTCCACCCCCTCCTCCGCCTGCAGGAGCGGCACCGCCGCCGCCGCCGCCACCACCACCACCACCACTTCTGGCAAATGGGGAAGGAAACGCATTGGCGTTACCCGCTTCCCCACAGCCTGGTCGCTCGGACCTACTTGCATCCATTCGTGGACAGAGTGTGGCAAGTTTACGGAAGACGGGCGGTCCTCAGTCAACGCCCTCTCCTCCCCCCGCACCTGCTGCTGAAGAATCTGGTGGTGGTGGCGCAGGCGGGAATCTGACCGCCGCACTAGCTGCTGCTTTGCTAGAAAGGAACAAGAGGCTTGGTGATAGTGATGAAGAGGACGATGATGATGACTGGGACTAAATATCGCTACTTATTTTCAATCACGTTTCTACACATCATTCATAATTAGGATTAACCTTTATGCAAGCGAGGCCATGGGAAGCACTGTAGGTAAAGGAAGATCGGCAAATCACTAGAAAGGAGTCTTGAAGCCTTGAGTTCCTGACCTCTAATACATATCTGTATGGCTGTTGACCAGCCTCTTAGGCATGCGGCCGTGCACGTGCATGGCCTCATCGACATCGTTCGATCTTTTGGGTCAGTATTGCGTGCGAAAGTAAATGTCAACGCTGGAGTCTGGGCAGTGGGCTCTGGGGATAGTTAGCCTGATTTGGCACTGGCGATTGCCGGTGAAGACATGATCTTGGCCAAATGCAAGGCCATGCTTTGCTCTGCTCAACGACAATCACCAACCCCCGTCATCCTCTTTGTCAAATCGCATTCTTTTATAGTCAACAAAGTTTTCTCTCGTAGCTTTCTAGAACATGGCGGATCAATTGGTGAGTCGCACTGTCACGTGTGGGTTTCCGATGGGTATTGATTAATATCGATTCGGTAACGGCCCACAGTCTGAAGGTGTGAATGCTTCCTTGGTGGGAGGCCAAAGACGTTATTGGTGCTGATATGCTTCGTTACTCTTGTGCGATTTTCTAGAACAAATATCTGGTGAGAAAATCTGGCTGGTGTTGTCACTGATGATCCCAGCGCTCATTTACCCGCCACAGAATTCAAGGAAGCTTTCTCTTTGTTTGACAAAGGTACGACCAACGTGATGTCGGTTATTACTTCACCTGATCTGAAGCGATATAGATGGCGATGGCACGATCACTACCAAAGAGCTCGGCACTGTGATGCGCTCGCTAGGTCAAAATCCTACCGAAGCTGAGCTACAGGATATGATCAACGAGGTTGACGCTGATGGGAATGGTACCATCGACTTCCCAGAGTTCCTTACAATGATGGCGCGCAAAATGCGTGATACCGACAGCGAGGAAGAGATTAAAGAGGCATTTAAAGTATTCGATAAGGACGGGAACGGCTATATCAACGCTGCCGAGCTGAGACATGTCATGACGAACCTGGGTCAGTGGTGATGCTTCAGATGTCCGATCATAAATTGATGCCATTACTAGGCGAGAAATTGACTGACGCTGAGGTCGATGAAATGATTCGTGAAGCAGACGTCGATGGCGATGGCCAGATCAATTACGATGGTTCGTCTCCTTTTCGCATCGTACTTGTTTGTACTCACAAGGCATATTGTTTCGCATCGGTTCAGAATTTGTGAAGGTTAGCATTTCGTTCATAGTGTTTCAATTTCAGAGACCTAACCTTTCGAAAGATGATGTTATCGAAATGATGTGGAATGCGTCCTGTACAATAAACTTAGCATTCTACTTACTCTACCCAAGTGACTCGGTCTGCAGAAATAGTTGCATGTTCAACGTTCAATTGCTACATAATGTCAACCAGGATTTCTCATCTTTTGAATCGTGACGTGTGGAATGATGTCATCCGTATGATTAGCTCCGCAGGTGCGTATATAGGGGAGTCAAGCTATCAAGCTGGGCATTGTGCTCTTTCTTTACAACTACAACCATAACTATAGTACCTCTAACAAATGTCCCAACAAACGAAAGATACCACAACGTCACCCAGTCGCCAACAGGGACAGCAGGAGCAACAATTCAACATCCTTCCTCACCCTGCTGTACGCAGCCGTTTTCGCTTTCTAGATATAATTTTGCTCATCATTTGATCCAGAAATCTAATGATCCATCAGACTTGGTTGGCCGTGACGCGGGTTTGACAAGTAAGCCTGAGTTTCACGCCTACCACGCTCGAGACCCGCATGTGCCTAGCAAGGACATCGTCAATGGCCTCGAAGCCCCATTGGTTCGTTAAGATACATTTTGAACATCACACCCCTTGCTCATAGTTGTTCGCAGAGTCGTGAAGAACTCCATAGAAGGGCCGAGGAGCTCAACAAGAAGTAGCAGTCGTACCTAGGGCTGTCCCATATTCTACAAAGGGTAGTCTTTGTCAGTACACATAGATCGAAGATAAGGTGTCAAGATCCCCAATACTTGGGCATTGCAAGGGAAGGTTTTTTAAGTGCGTCTTGGCCTGCACAATATCTGCCCATAGTAGTATTTGGCCCCCCAGTGGTAGTTGGACCGCAAACCCCAGACGCTTTCGTTCACGAAGTTCACATATCATTTGGCCGCAGATGTCATGGACGTGTACATATTGGCCTTATGCAAGAAGAACCAGATACTGGATTTTGTTGTTTCGCTGATATGTTGCTATGAAGCGGAGTTATGGAGGTCCTTGAGGTTGGGATCGAATGCAGCAGCCTTGGCATGCGTATATGTCTGCACGTACTGTCATCTCGTGGTTGCCGGCAGTGAGATAAAGTTGCTTAGCAACATGGAACGCCTGAATGACGTTTTTGACTTGAGAAAGAGTAAAGTTGAGATGGCCAAGATGCCACAAGTATTGTGCTTGTGACATGCACATGGAGAGCTCTCTACGATATTGAACGTTGCTGGGCAGGGGAAGGTGCTCCTTCTTTGAGACTACTTCACTATTGATGCGGTTTACTGATCTACAGTGTCATCAGTTTCCAGCGACAGTGAAATCAATGTGGCTCGCACTCACATTTTCCAAAGATCCTTGCAGATCGTCTTCGCTAGTATCCTTTCAATACATTCTCAATAGTTTTGCATTTCTTGACTATCGCCAGGAGATCGGATTTGTTTTTGACCACTGATTGTACAAACTTGAGGATCTCTTTGTGAGTATCACGCCAACGCACTGGTGCCTGTGCAAGAATGAGAATATTTGGGATCGTTCCAAGGACATCTCTGGCCAGGTTAGTAGGAATTTTGGAGCAAAGTCTTTTTAGTGCTGATGGAGGCTGATGGCCAATATAATGACGCCTAGAAGTTGAATCACGTTGTCATCCTGGGGTCGGACTACTTTTTGGCAGAATAGGGTTTGGCATATTTATAGTAGAGTCAAAATCGCGGGACTTGTGATCTTTGAATTTCTGGACGTATCAGATCTAGCTTGGCTTGTTGGATAACATTGTTGTGAATGTCGGTCAATCGGACTGCAGAGAAAATTGTCGTCAGGTCATGTGATACCACTTGGAGCGCATGTCACACCGCGTTGTCACGGTATCCCTCGGTACTTTCAAGTTGGCTCCCATCCGACAGTGAAGTTGCGCATCCGGGCAAGACTTTGGATGAATGCATCCAGGAGCTTTACAACTGCAGGATAAAGGCGGGCGTCGACATATTCTTTATTTGGGTTTGCAAAGGCCTGTAGCTGACTCGGAGGTGAGGAGAACAGAGACTACTAGTCACTAGACAAGCAATAGATCACGCTATATTCGAATCATCTCAGCTGGTCATAGTAACCTACCTAACGCGCCTTCTCGTCAATGCTCCACGTCTAATCCATGCTCAACTGAATTTGCCACAAAACAATGGACTCCCGGCCTGATGTCGCAAGAGACTCCAGTCTCTGCAAATCACACGTACATTTTGTGCGATACAGGACTTGAGGTCGTCCACTTCATATCACTCCAAGTCGTGTTCTAATAGCTATCGGTTATTCACGAAATTCACTCTTGCTTTCTGAGGCAGGCCAATGCAGACGTCAATCTCAAGTTGTTCGATCGTTTCGAAATCCGAACACGACGCTGCCTACGCCATCCTTGATCTTACAGATATTTGTAGTGAATCACCACAGCATCGACAGATGGAAGCATTGAAGATCGAGGATATCGACGAAACACTTATGAGTCTGGCCAAAAGCCTTGTCATGAAGCGAGTTCCTTTTGTTTAGAGACTTGGTACCTATCATTTGTGTAACAATCCGAATATGTGGGGATACAGTATACCACATGGTCATCATATATGATGACCTACATAACATTTGTAAATGACAAGCGGCCTTCCAAAAACAACCCCCACCCTTCGAATCTGCTCGACAAAGCATGAAATGGCAAGCAACTGTACAGATGGTAGGGAGGCACTCCCATCTCAACGCACAAAGACCGTGTTTCTGCGAAGCGTTGTGCCGCTAAAACGAAGTCACGTTGCACAAAGGCAACCTCACCCAGTCCACGGATGTTGAATGCTTTGGCGTGCAGGTTGCCTTGCATGTTGCAACCTTCAATCGTGGCGGTGAATTGAGACGCAGCATTGTCGTACTCCCCTGCGGCAAGCTCGATGAGTGCGGAGCCATAAGATCGGTGGAGAAATGTGCGTGCATTGCGCAGGGCAAAGAATTGGAAGGGCTCTGAGGCTTTGTGGATGAGCTCCCTCGCAAGGTCGTGATTCCCCTGCTTGCTCGCAACAATAGCCTTCTGGACAGTGTACCAAAGGACACCGTCCGAATATTGACCCTCAAACATCTCTACAAGTTGGTGTAAAATATCCATTGCGTCGGATAACCTGCCTTCGCAAAATGCAATTTGTGCAAGCCCCTCAAGTACGTCCCTGCGAGCAAAAAGATCCCCAGTACTTGGGCATTGCGGGAGAAGGTCTTCCAAGTGCGTGTTCGCCTGGACAATGTCTCCCCCGTGGTAAAATTTGGCCCGCCAGTACCAAATCTTGGATGGCAAGCCCCAGTCGCGATCTTCTCCGGACTTCACAAATAATTCGTCCATGAATGCTTTTAATGTATACATTTTGGCCTTATCCGAGAAAAACAAGACGTAGGCTTTCGATGCTTCGCTGAGAAATGTCCACGAGTCGGTTTCTTGGAACGTCTCCAGAACCTGTTGGGACTGAATGAAGCGGCCTTGACACCTGTAGATATCTGCACATTGGACGACGCAGTGTGCTGCGTTTTCATGGTCATCGACGGTAAGATAGAGTTCTTTAGCAGTTTTGAAGGCCTTCATCCCTTCAGTGAGCTGGGTAAGAGTGGTGTAGAGCGCACCGAGATACTGCAGGCAGCACGCTTTTGGCCCTCGCGTGGAGGAGTTCTCTATGATTTTGAAAACAATTGGAGTAAGGATGGTTGGGCGAGGTAGATGCCTCTGCAAGCACCACAAAAACTGCCAGCAGATGTCATAGGTCTCTTCGATGACATCTGGGATATAGGCAAGGTTGAAAGCCACTACGTGCTCAATGTTCAGGTGATCCGAGGTAATTATATCAGCATAGTGATCGTGTTCTTCCAAACAGCAGTCGACGATGCGATAGTAGAAGTTACGTATCTCTCGCAAACAAGTGGAGTCAGGTGCTTGCAACGAATCGCGCACATAATGCCGAATGGGGGCGAGCAACTTGATGAAGCCATCCTGACGATAAACAAGAGATTGTCTGCAAAGGACATCGCATATAATGTCGACTTGTGGGAGCGACGGCAACAAATCGCTAGCCAGGGTGTCATTAAGGCCCTGTGGCAAGAAAGCGATTATGGTCAGAAGACGACGACCATCATCGCCGAGGTCCTGTATTGATGGTGAGCTGAGTGACAGCTGCATAGTGTCTGACAAGCTTTGGAGCTTCCCCTTGCCGGGGTCCAGCACCTTGCTGTGCCGATTGTTCCACCTCTTCAGCAGTGTGGCTGGAGACCAGCTATTTTGCTGCGCAACGTTCGCGAGCAAATTGATGGAAAGCGGGTGGAATTCCAATTCCTTGAGTAGGTTCCGTATGTCTTCCCCAGCCTCGCTACAACTGACGTGTTGATAAATTTGAAAGAACACTGCTTGAGCAGCGCTTAAGTCCAGTGGCGGAATATCTTTCGTTATCCATCGCACGTTCGGTGCATTCCTTCGACTGCGTGACGTGAGGATCAGAACAACGCCAGGGATGTTTGCAATGTCAGCAATGGCTGGTGGTATCTCTCCGAGCGCCGATGATCCACTGGCCTCTTCAAAGGTCTCAGCATTATCAAGGACAACGAGGGCGCTGGCAGAACGAAGAAGGGCAGAAATTTGGCGCATAGGATCAGCACCAGCAAGCTCTATGCCCAGGGCTCCCGCAAAACGAGTTGTGAAAGTCTCAAAGATGATGGTCGAAGGATCAAGGCCATCATAGGTCACGAAAAAGCGCCTATCAGCAAATTTCTCCATGGCAGGTGGTTCGTTAATGATAGCTTTGGCAAGGGAACTCTTCCCCATGCCTCCAAAACCGATTAACGCGATATGTTCATCATTGACGACAAGGTTTGTCAACTCCGCTACGAGATCGTCACGTCCATAAAACATGGAGGGACGTGACGGGGGCACTGGTGGATGATACCTGTTTGCCTTTAGAGGATACACAACGCTTGCTGAGATGTTAACTTACCTTTCGACATTCCCATGAACATTGTCCTTGAGTCCTACGGTCCGCACGTTCATTCCAATCGTGAGACCAATGAGCATCTCAGCCTTAAAACATTATCCAGTAACCGTAGCTCTAAAGGAGTTCCAGAAACATACACTGAACAGTGGGATGACACGATCCAAGTCTTTTTCCC